ATTTACTCTTTTAAACGTAGAATATAAATTTAATTTAATGAAAAATACATTTATTTAAATTTATTAGTGTATATCTTCAACAATATAATATTGCATTGGTAGTACTTGGATCTTCTTTTCCTTTCTGCTTAAATTCTTTCGCGCTAGTATTTAAGAACATTGTATGCCGGTCCGACCGTAAAAAAATCTAGTTAGGACTTATAAATAAAATTTAAAATATTTTTCCCTCCCTTTTTCTATATTAAAATAAAAAGATAACTATAAATTTTTTTTTCTGGGGGAACAAAGCAATTATTAATTTATTTAAAAATTATTTAAGAAATACAAAAAATTTGGGGGGCTCGGTATCATCTTTAAATTTTCATAATATCTAAACTAAATGAAATTTAAATTTTACACTTTAATTTTTTTATATTACCATACTAGGAATTCATCCATCATAATATAATTATGAATTTACTGTAGGTTACGTCCAAAATCTGTATTAAAATATTCGAAAAGTTCTAAATAATAAAATCATAATGTTAAATTTTTGACATTTTCCAGATATATATTTTGGACAGTTAAATATGCTTACCAATGATATAAAAATCATAATTCCGTAATTTACATTTTCTTTTTATTCGTTAATTTTACAATTAAATTGGATAGAATTTTTTTGTTAATTTATAAATCTAAGATATCAGCTGAACTAGCTATTTTAATTAGTATTGTTAAATGGCTCGTTTTGAGCCGATTTTTAAAAACGGCTAACTCAATATTTTAGCCGGAAAAATATTGCCTAAGCCTCAAGATATCGATAATATATGACTAGACCTCTTCAGGCTTGGGGTAATTTTTCCTGGATGAAGTAATGAGTTAGCCGTTTTTAGAAATCGGCTCAAAATGAGCCGTTTAACAATACTAATTTTAACAGAGGTGGCTTAATCCAAATAGGGAAGATTTGAAACATCTCTACGATATTCTCAACAAATGTTACTTCCAAGTGGCGTTGGCATGGGGGGGGGGGTGAAAAAAAATGGGAAATTAAAAATTTTAATTTTTAAAATATTATTTATATATTTTTAATTTATAAATAATAATTTATGTATTTGATTATTTTTATATTTTTTAAAATAAATTCTAAATTATCTTGCAAAAAACTTGTAAAGTTTGTCATATTTCTTTTTAAAAAAATCTACTTTGTCAATATGAAGAAACAATCATTATCTATTTCAACAAATGTTAAACACATATATGCCACAAGTCTATTATTTGACTACCTTTTTATGTCGCTCTTAAATATATAAAAGTATCAAAGTTACAACGACATCAGTCTCATATTTAAGATGATAGGATTTTTATAATGATAATAATAGTAAAACATATTTTAGATATTTTGTTTATTCAATTTTTTAAAAATGCTTTATACTTCTAGAATCATCGTTCCATCTTGAATCTTGGTATCAATTTTAGAAATTTTCGTATTTTCGTAATAAATTTTTATTTATACTATTTACAAAGCGGATTAATGATTAAGCGAAAATGTATATTTAAACATTTCATATAGTCTAAGCTTTAGAATTAGGGCTTTTAAAAGTTTGGCAAACTTGCTTAAAACTGCGTCTTAATATCTGATTTATAACAAATTTTTGCAAATATAACTCGATTTAAAATTAATGGGAATTAAATTACAAATCGAAAAGGATGTTTGACTATACGTTTAAAACGTGATATCATAGTTAGGTTTGGTTCATAATTCGGTTTGGTTCATAATTCGGTTACTTTTTTAAAGACTGGACGAAATTGATTAAAGAATTAATAAGGTACTAAATATTAACGCAAACTAGTTAGTTAGAACTTCTATCTTATAGGCTCGGGCATATTGTTAATTTTTATTTTTTTACCAATAATTCTTTTCCTCTTTAAATCAACTATCAAAGGTATAAAGCAATAAAATAATAAAGCCCTACTTAATGGTTTAGTATAGGTTCAGAATTAGTGTTTCCAGAAGCTTGGCTCACTTCACGCTTAGTGTATGGCGTCTTGGTTTTCATTTTGTTTATGACAGTTTCTTTTTGTGGTTCTCATACTTGAGAGTGAAAGTATTAGTTAGGAATTAAATATTAGCGCACGCCAGATATATATTTTTTTTATATTTTCCATTTTAGCATGATATCTATTTTGACAATCTTTTTTCTTTATACTATTCACCAAACGGATTAAATTAATACACAATACTATATACTTTCAGTCGCTTTTTATTTAAGGTTGACCAGAACCTTGTTGCTAATTATTTTTTCCTTTTAACCCCCCCCCCCCCCTACCCATTGGAAAATCTAGGCTACTCCACTGTAGCTAGGTTAAATATTTTATTATTCTATGGTGACCGGCTTTAAAATTTTTTTATGCAATTAAATCCCCCTTGTCTTCATATCAATAAATACGAAGTTTATTATTTTTACTTTATATACTCAATTTAATAGAGATTAGGCAAATTACTATTTAATTAGATAAGAAATAAATCAGTTATCATACCAAACTTTACAAATAGACGTCTACTAAACCTTTCTGCCAACTATGAGCAAAATATCCAGGTTTACAAAATATTATTTGCTAAAATCTTAATCGGAATGTTATTAAAATCGATCCAGATCGCACTATTTAATAACACTAATGACAAGTTTTACATTTTAGATATAAAATTATATGATATATTTTTTTAAAAAAATCAAGTTTATAAAATCCCAACAAACGGGGAAAAACCCGTTATAAATGAAACCGGAACGAACCGATATGAATTTATTCAAAAAACCGTAATGGAACATAATCTTTATAAATTTTTAAACTAAATACAGGAACGAATTGAACCTCTATACTTAACGGTTCGAAACCCTAGTTGTTATAATATTTTAGTAACTAAATATATTTTTTTCCCCTTCATATTTTTAAAACATTATATTCATATCCTCTATATTTTCAAATTATCATTTAGAAATAATATATTATCAAATATTGCTTTATCATTTTTAAATGAATAATTATTATTAATTTGCATTTATGTCTAGATAAATGAGAAGACCTTACTTTCCGTGAATGTCTATGTATGTACTGACATTTTTTACATTGAACAAATCATATTTTTTGATTATGATTTTATTATTAGAAACCTGCAGGCCCGGCGTTAAGCCCGGCTCGGGCTTTAATTATTTAAATGAACCTAATTTTTTTAGAAAAATACCCGGGTTGGGCCGAAAATTTCAAAACCAAATATTTTATTCCACTATTATTAACTATAAAAATTAATGAGAGATATAATTATTTTCATAATAATCGGGCCATGCTAAGCACGAAAAAATTAAACCAAAATTATCCCATAATTTGCTCATGAATTATTTTCAAATAATTTGTATTCATTCCTGTGAATATAATGTTTTAAGTATTTCCTGATTTTTATTCATTATTTCTAAAATAAAATACTACATATTGTTTGATACTATTTTTGATTCATAATATAGAAAAAAAGGATTTTATTATCCGAAAAATTTAGATTCCCAAAGTTATAAATTGATGCATTTTATCTTTTTACCTATAATAACCATGATTATTAAACCTAATCTATACAAGCTTGCACATAGATACATTATAAAACATGTTATTTAATAAAACATGATCCCTCAAAATATAAATAATATTTATTATACTACCTATACACTTTAAATTTATAGTTATTGTTAAGTATAAGAAAGATACTAAATAAGCAATTTTAATTAAAATAAGCAATAAAAACAAAATTCGCACTCTCCAAGGTATATAGGATAGTGTAGTATGATAAATAATACTAATAGGGGAAATGTGCCATAAATGGCCATGTGTGAAGACTGGCCACCACCCTTTAACTTTCTATTGGACCAATTTCTCTCAAAATTGGTCAAAATGTGTATATTTATGATATGTACCTTACCTAAGTTCATTTTGAATAGAGCAATTCAATAAAAAAATATTTCAAATAAACTGTTTTTAGTACCTCTTTCTGGAAAAATCACGTTACACATTTTTTTGTTTTTGAAAAAATTACTATTTAGATTACTGATATTTTATATAAATATTATCCATAGGCATTTACCATTATTTACACAAAAAATTAGACTTTAAAAGCTTTATTTAAAAGACATATAAAGGCGCTTCGCTTAATAGTAATAGAGAGGTGAGTATTGACTGTCCATGTATTGATTGGCCACAATTCGCACATTCACATATTCATATTAAAATGAAAGCTCTTTCAAAACAACATTTGGTGAAATTAAATGATGAACAAGCTTAAGAATGTTTAGTAAAATGATAATTAAGATATTAATTTATAATATTATCATTAAATAGATGTGGTAATAGATTAAGATTTTAATACTAATTAAATTAGTGTATAATTAATTTTTTATACAACTATAAAATGTAGAAACATTATTTTATATTCTATTATTTCATATTTATAATAAAATTCTTAAATATTATATTATGACCAGCTAACACATAGTATATGGCCAGTGGCCAGAAAAACAACTTCCACATAATCTCATTTAGCTCATAAAGTATTATACATCGAGCTTTGATTCAAATTTTATTTTAAAGATTAATATTTAGGCTACACATTGATATTAAATTTGATTGGTTAAACATAAATTTTAATACTTTTTTTACAAAAAGCATAAAGATGGCCATTCATGGCACATTTCCCCTACTATTCTTTCCTTCGTTATTAGTAATATTTGTATCGCTAATTTAAATGAATGATTTTATTCCAAAGCCAATTAAATAAATTTCCGTTGCTGGTCGGCCAGCTCGGCCCATGAAGGCTTCGATTCAAAATCGCCACAAATTAAATATTTATTAAAAACTTCAATTAGTTCCATTTTATTTATACAACTTTTATACAAAATAATGTTAATTTTTTTATAAACAACTTACTGTTTAATTAATAAATTAGTCTTTCGTGTATTCATAATTTTGAATTCTAATTTTATTCATAAACTGTAATGAACATACATCAATGGAAAGCACATTTTCAATTTGTCACCGTAATGTTTTTCATTATATTCCAATACATTTTTCATAAACATTTTAAAAAACTGTTCCTTCAATCCCGATTTGTCTATATCAGCTAAAACATCTGGGAAAAACCCTTGAACAAAATTTGCTGCGGCCTCGATAGAGGGTTGAAACGAATAATTAATCTCGTCTATCTCTTCTATCGTTATTTTATCTTCTTTATACCCCGCCTCAATCATTATTTTCTTATAGGCTAGTATAGGATCATGTTCTATCATCCACGCACGCCTCCAAGGTAATAACAATCCGTCATAGAACTTTTTTAATTTTTTTAAATGTGGACTCAATTCCTGATTATCTAAGGTTCTTTCAGTCGCGTAATTTAGGCTGCCTACAATTCTACAGTTTAATATTATATTAATAGAGCCGCCGTCCCAATTTATGACTTTGAGTAGATTAGCGAACGCTTTCAGTTGATCCCCCACCCAATGAAAACAGCATGAAGACACAACGTGATCAATAACGCCTCCTTTAGAAGCATTTAAAATATTCTCAGGCGCATTTTTACTCGTTATATCGATATTAGAGAATTCCAATGATTTTTGGTGAGAACAATAACGTTCCCTGGCGTATTCGATCATTCTTGAGAGCAAGTCTATCCCTAAAACATTTACCTTAAATTCAATATTGTCATGAGCATTTAGTAAAGTTTCGTAAAGTAAATTGGTGCATTTACCATCTCCGCTACCGACATCTAAAATATTGTCGTGTTCTTTGATGTGTGGAACTATGCGGGAAATGAGATATTGGTAAATAGAGAATTGATATGAATTATGGCTGGCATATGACTCACAATCTGAATTCATATGCATTTTAAAAAAAATTTTTTTATAGTTACTTTTAATTTTTTGTCAATCTATACTTATAATTTGATAAAATGACAAAATTTTGGGAAATAAATGATTTAAAATTTGATTTTTTAACCAAAATAGAGCAAAAATATTAGAATCCTATGCAATATAATTATTAAATGAAAGGATAAATTATTGTAAAGAATAAACCATTTTTCCTTGGATTTATCAGTTATTAATAAAAAAAATAATGTTTTAAAATGTTTTATTTTTTATTTAAATTATAACATTTAAAACAATAATAACATCAATCATCATAATGATATTTATTTAATTGAATTTATTTGTATAAGTTATTCCATGAAAGTATGGCATACTAATCAAATATCAGTTTGAATTATTCTTCATATATAATGATAAAGTAGATATGAGATTAAAAGGTGTATATATATATTATAATAAGGAACAAATTTGCTGAAATATTTAATGATAATAACACAATCATTATAAAATTTAAAAAAATATATATTATTTTTATTTTCATGAAATTTCACTAATAATTTGTCAGAATAAATTATATATATAAGATGAGAAAACTTATAAGTAATGTCGATATATTTAAAGCCTAATGCCTCTTCATTATGTTTATTCTGTTCCTTTTTTTCTTCTTCTTGGCACAGTAGTATGTATACAGGCGATTAACACAAACTTTTACATTTGTTTTGGCCCATTTTACAAAAAATTTTTTCCTCTTCATTTCCTTGGGTAACTAGGTCTTAAACCAGTCATTCCCTCTCTGCATCTTGAGATTCTCTTAGCATGTAGCCAAATAAATTGACCAAACAACCTCCCCTTTCTCATAATATCACTCCAATTTTAAGATATTCCTGCCTTTTCTCAACCAACTCTGTTCCATTCTCTCATCCTTCAAGACTTAACATGAATATTCCATGTTGAAGTTATATATTTTATTCTATGGTTCTTACACCACCTTATTAGTACATCGTTTCATGCAAGCCATTAGCCGTTAATTCTTTTAATAATTGCTTCGACCATCAATTATTTCGTGGATTTTTATCTAACATTTTATTGAAAGTGTTCATTGAGTTATTAACTTTGGCATGTATCTTATAAAAAAAATATATTTGCTCTTAAACGTAGAATGTAAATTTAATATAATTAAAAAATATATATTTAAATTTATTATTATATCTTCAACATTATAATAATATTTTAATTATCTTTTCATTCCTGCTAAAATTTATTTTGCGTTAGCTGACAAAATGTAAGAACCCTGTATGGCAGCTCGAACCCCGACCGTAAAAAAATCAAGGCAGGACTTATAAAATAAAATTAAAAATATTTTCCCCTCCATTTCTATATTAAAATAAAAAGATAACTATAATTTTTTTCTGGGGATTAAAACAAAGCAATTATTAATTTAATTAAAAATTATTTAAGAAATGACAAAAATCTGGGGGCTCGGTGGGAAGCATTTAAATTTTCCTAATATCTAATCTAAATAATATGTAAATTTTATACTCTGATTTTTATATATTACCATATTATTGATTTAGCCATCGTAATATAATTATGAATTTACTGTAGGTTGCTTCCAAAATCTGTTTGGAAAATTAGAAAAATTTCTTTTGAAATTTTCCAGAACTATGAAAGATAAATATGCTTATCAAAGATATGAAAATTGTAATTCAGTAATTTGCATTTTCTTTTTATTCTTTAATTTTACAATTAAATTAGAGATATATAAGTAGGAATTTTTTTTTGTTAATTTATAAATCTTCAATTTATAGTAAATAAAAAAGATATCAGCTGAATTGGCTATTTTAATAGAGGTGGCTTAATTCAAATAGGGAAGATTTGAAAAATCTCCAGATTTCAATGCAATTTAAAGAGACACTGATGTTTTCAGCAATTATAACTAAGCTACCTTTAAATTCCTATTATTCTATGGTGACCGGCTTATTTACATTTGTGATTGGCGTGTAGTCTAAAGAGGTACTTGATAACAGAGATCCTGATCTGCGGACCGGGCCTATTTTTTTTTTAAAATTCGGTTCGCGCTCGGTCGGGCCTAATATTTTTTAAAAAATCGGGCCGGGTCGGGTATAGCCTTGAATTTTTTTTTGAATATATCGAAATTTATCAATTATGTTGAATTTTTTAAGCAAAATAAAAATATTTGATTTAACTTATATCTTTTATTTTGAGTAATTATAAAAATTAATTTTTATATATAAATAAATACGGGTCGGGTCGGGCCGTGCCAGGGAAAATTTTTTTAAAAAAATATTCGGGCCAGGCTGGGCTTGAAAATTAGGCCCGATGCAGATCACTACCTGATAATCCTATTATAAGCCCTTCTTGGTTTCTTGTTTATTATTTTAAAGCCTAAAGGGTTGAGGGTTATGAACCGAACCAAACCATGCCGGAACAAATCATTATAAATTGAGCCGTAACCGAACTGTTATAACTAGCTTAAGCTGGTATAAACAAAGGCTTTAAAAAATAATTAATTTAATTATTAACCCAAATTCGAAATTTTAATATTCCTTGGGGGCTTAAAATTCTTGATTGCCTTTCAAATTAAAATCTTTTTACGCAATTAAATCTTCTTTAACGTCATATCAATAAATACGTAGTTTATTATTTTAATTTTATATACTCAATTTAATAGAGGTAAGGCAAATTACTATTTACTTAGATATGAAATAATCTTAAAACAGTTATCCTACAGAACTTGACAAATAGAGGTCTAAACCTTTCTGCCAACTATAAGAAAAATCTCCAGGCTTACATAATATTATTTTGGCTATCTCAATCTGGGCGTTTTTAAAAATCGATCCAAAATGCACCATTTAATAACACTAATGACAAGTGTTATATTTTAGATATAAATTTATATGATTAATTTTTAAAAAAAATCAGGTTAATAAAATCGGAACAAACCGAAAAAACCGTTATAAATTCTAAACCGAAACATACCATTATGAATTTATTGAAAAAAAACCATAGTGGAACAAAATTTTTATAAATTTTTAAATTAAAAGCCGGAACGAATAGAAATACAACGATTCGAAACCCTAGTTGTTATAATATTTTAGTAACTAAAAATATTTTTTTTCCCTTCATATTTTAAAAAAATATATTAATATCCGTAATATAATTTATTTCTTTTGGGATTAGTATTGGATTATATAGACGAATTTAAATTAAATTTTCTTTAATTCCACAACTAATACAGAAATTTTTTTTTAGTGGCTGGGCGGCGAATTTATAAAAATATTTAAGGGCCGGTTGGGCCTTGCTGATGGCTAGAATATAAAATTTATTTGTAACTCAAAACAGAGACCTTCATAAGCTTTATTTTATGACCAAGCCCGATCCAGGCCTATCTTAAAAATTTTGTAATCCAGGCCCAGCTCCACCCTCATTTAATATTAAAAAATTTCCCAAGCCCATTAAAACATTTTTTATATACTTATGCTGAAATAATGCTAATGGAAATGTAATATTTTATTTAGCATTAATAAGAATATATAAACAGAATTTTATTCTATAATTTCAAATTATCAAAATAATATATTATCAACTAATGCTTAATCACTTTTAATTGATTAAAAAGAAGAAAATTTTATTATCGATTTGATTTGCATTTATGTCTAGATAAATGTGAAGCCCTTACTTTCTGTGAATGTATATGTATGTACTGACTACATTGAACAAATCCAATTTTTTGATTATGATTGTATATTATTATCAGAAACTTACAGGCCTGGTCCTAAGCCCTGTCCGGGCTTTAATTTTTTTAAATATACTCGGACAGGGCCTAATATTTTTTAAAAATAATACCCGGGTTGGGCCGAAAATTTTAAAACCAAATATTTCAATCCACTATTAGTAACTATAAAAATTATAATTAGATATATTTATTTTCAAAATAATGGGGCCATTCTGGGCCTGAAAATATAAAACCCGGGCCAGGCATACAAATCCTCTGCATATCTTTTTGTTATATTTAAGTAATTCCATACTTTGCTAATGAATAATTTTCAAATAATTTATATTCAATCCTGAGAAATGTATTTTTTAAAATATTTCCTGATTTTTATTCATTATTTCTAAAAGAAAATACTACATATTGTTTAATGCCATTTTTTTTTATAATATATAGAACAAGGTTTTTATACAAGTGTTATAATAAAAATCTTTATTAATATCTGAAAAATTTAGGTTCCCAAAGTTATAAATTGATGCATTTTATCTTTTTATCCTATAAAAGCAGCTGCACATAGACACATTATAACACATAAAATAGGATCGCTCAAAATATAAATAATAATTATTACCTATACACTTTATATTTTATAATTATTGTTAATTGCAATTTTAAATAAAACAAGAAATAAAAACAAAATTAGCACTCTCCAAGGTAAGTGTGATAAATAATACTATTACTATTGCCATTATTACCCTTCCTTCCTTCCTTCCTTCCTTCCTTCCTTCCTTCCTTCCTTCCTTCCTTCCTTCCTTCCTTCCTTCCTTCCTTCCTTCCTTCCTTCCTTCCTTCCTTCCTTCCTTCCTTCCTTCCTTCCTTCCTTCCTTCCTTCCTTCCTTCCTTCCTTCCTTCCTTCCTTCCTTCCTTCCTTCCTTCCTTCCTTTCTTTAATGATTATTTATATTTATAAATATCCTTAAAATAAGCTATATTTCAATGAAAGATTTTAGTTCCAAGTCCATTAAAAAAATTCTAAAACCCCAACCGGCTCAAGCTCGCAAAAAGATATACTATTAGGTCCATACCTCGGCCATGGCCCGGGGCTTGCAGGTCATGGGCTAGCTCGGCCCATGAAAGTCTCCGATTCAAAATCGATATAAATAAAATATTTATGATATATTAAAAAACTTCAATTAGGTCCATTTTATTTATACAACTTTTATACAAAATAATGTTAATTTCTTTTGTAAACAAGTTACTGTTTAATTAATAAAATTGGTCTTTCATGTATTCATAATTTTGAATTCTAATTTTATTCATAAACTGTAACGAACATACATCAATGGAAAGCACATTTTCAATTTGTCACCATAATGTCTTTCATTATATTCCAAAATATTTTCCACAAACATTTTAAAAAACTGTTCCTTCAATCCCGATTTGTCTACATCAGCTAAAACATCTGGGAAAAACCCTTGGACAAAATTTGCAGCGGCCTCGATAGAGGGTTGAAACGAGTATTTAATCTCGTCTATCGCTTCTATCGTTATTTTATCTTCTTTATACCCCGCCTCAATCAAGATTTTCTTATAAGCTAGTATGGGATTAGGTTCCATCATCCATGAACGCCTCCAAGGTAATAACAAGCCGTCATAGTACTCTTTTAATTTTTTTAAATGCGGACTCAATTCTTGATTATCTAAGGCTCTTTCAGTCGCGTAATTTAAGCTTTCTACAATACCATCACTTAATATTATATTAATAGATCCGCCTTCCGGTTTTATAATTTTGAGCAGATTATCGAACGCTTTCAGTTGATCCCCCACCCAATGAAAACAGCATGAAGACACAACGTGATCAAAAACGACTCCTTTAGTAGCTTTTAAAATATTTTCAGCCGCATTTTTGCTCGTTATATCTATATTAGCGAATTCCAATGATTTTTGGTGAGAACAATAACGTTCCTTGGCGTATTCGATCATTCTTGAGAGCAAGTCTATCCCTAAAATGTTTACTTTAAATTCAATATTGTCATGAACAGTTAATAAAGTTTCGTATAGTAAATTGGTGCATTTACCATCTCCGCTACCGACATCTAAAATATTGTCGTGTTCTTTGATGTGTGGAACTATGCGGGAAATGAGATATTCGTAAATAGAGAATTGATATGAATTATAGCTGGCATATGACTCACAATCTGAATTCATAAACATTTTTAAATTTTTTTTATTATTTTTACTTTTGTTAATTAAAAATTCTTTGACAATTTATACTTATAATTGGATATATGACAAAAAGTTGTGAATTAAATGATTTAAAATTTGTTTTTTTGACCAAAATGAAGGCAAAAGGGAATTTTTAAAATATTTGCAATATAAGGATAAAAGGGAATTTTTAAAATCCTTTGCAATATAAGGATAATAATTAATAATGAAAGATAAATACTTGTTTAGAATAAATCATTTTTCCTTGGATTTATTAGTTAGTAATAATAAAATAATGTTTTATAAAAGGTTTTATTTTTTTAAATCATAAGATTTAAAACAATAATAAATCGTAATGATATTTATGGAATAGAATTTGTTTGCATAAGTTATTCCGTGAACGTGTATCATATGACTAAAATATCAGAATTATATTCATATACAAAGATGAAGTAGATAAACCAAATAAAATGTATATATATATAAGAACAAGTTTGCTGAAATATTTAATGATAACAACACATTCATTATAAAATTTAAAAAAATATATATATTATTTTTATTTTCATGAAACTTTATTAATAATTTGTCAGATGTAAATAAGATAAGAAAGTTCATAAGTAATGCCAATATTATACTGCCTGGCGCACTGTTTAATCTGTTCTTTTTCTTCTTCTTTCTTGGCTTGTTAGTTTGATAGGCGATTAACATAAACATTAAATTGTTTTGACCTATTTTATAGTAAATTTATTTTTCCGCATCATTTCTTTGGCAAACTAACTCATAAATCAGTCATTCCCTCTCTACATCTTGAGATTCTCTTAGCATGTCTAGCCAACACATGATAACCTCCACCTTCTTATAATATCATTGCAATTTTAAGATATTCCCGCCTTTTCTCCACTCTGTTCCATGCTCCCATCCTTCAACATAGATTTAACATGGGTATTACAATGTTGGAGTTATATTTTTTATTCTATGGTTCTCATCACTAATAACGGCGTTCTTATAACTCCTGACTTATTATCGTATACGATCGTTTCAGGCAAGCCAAGTTTATCCGTTAATTCTTTTAATAATTGCTTCGGCCCTCAACTATTTCGTGGACATTTATCTCACATTTTATTGAAAGTATTTATAGAGCAGGTAATCCTTTATTATTTATTAACTTTGGAATGTATCTTATAAAAAAAATATATTTGCTCTCTTAAACGTAGAATGTAAATATAATATAACTAAAAAATATATATTTAAATTTATTAGTGTATCTTCAAAATTATAATATAATTTTTATAGTATATATTCAATATTTTATTCATTTAAAAAAAATCAATCATACAATGGAATCGATATGGATATTCAGATGGGATATCTTCCGATATTGATAAACCGATGGAAGATCAATTATACAATAAATCGATACAAATGTCCCCCAGAGTATCCATATCCATTCCTCTGTATCAATGGGCCCACAAGGTACCATTATTCATGAATGTACTACAAGGTAACTATCCTAAAATGACCCATAAGGTCACCATTATGTTGGAAAGGCCTACGATGACCAATAGATGGCTAATATCCTGAATGACCTATGAGAATAATAAATAGTACTTATATTTTTTTCCTTTCAGATTTTTATTGCGCTTACTAGCAAAGTCTAAGAACCCTGTAAGGCGACCCATAAAAAATATATCCAGACAGGACTTATGAATAAAATTAAAAATACTATTCCCACCATTTTTTTTTTATTAAATAAAAAGATAACTAGAATTGTTTTTTTCTGGGGATTAGAACAAAGCAATTATTAATTTATTTAAACATATTTAAGATATGCGAGAAATCTAGAGGGTCGTTGCGAGACCTTTTTAAATTTACATAATATCTAATCTAAACAAAGTGTTACCGCGATTTAAAATATTCGGTTTTTAAAATTTAGGTCCGCCCGGCCCGAGTATATTTAAAAAAATATACAGCCCGATCCGTGTACTCAGGCCAGGCTTAGGGCCGGGCTTGCGGGCCTCTGGTAAATATTGTACTCTGATTTTATGTATTTTATCATATTAGGGATTTAGTTTGAAATTTACCAGAAATATATTTATGACCTTTTTTTATTTTTTCATTTTTTAAAAAAAAATGGAATCTTATTTCTTATAAGTTGGCGAAAGTTTGTGAATATTTTTTTGATATTTTGGACAGCCCTAAAAAAATAATAATACGATAAACATGCTTACCAAAGATAAAATTGTAATTACGTTATTTTTATTTACAAATCTTCATTTTATAGTTATATAAGATATCAACTGAACCGGCTATTTTAATAGAAGTGGCTTAATCTAAATAGGGAAGGTGTGGAACATCTCTAGATTTTTTTGTACATTAAAGAGACACCGATATTCTTAACATGTAGCCGTTAATTTTTTGTTATTCCATGGTGGAGGGCTTATTTACATTTGTAATTGGCATTAAGCCTACAAAAAAACGAATCGAATATCGAATAATTTACTATTCGTATACGAATAATAAAATCATTATTTGATTCGATTCGAAAATTTTTCTAAAGCTTATAAAAAAAAGTAGATTATATTTTGCAAAAAAAACTATAAACAGATGCGGAATTTTTTAAAAAGACACTCTTAAGGATTCTTCTAAAACTAATTGCCAAAATTTAGAGAAACTTATAAACGAAATAAAACCCAATGATTTCCTAACGTTATCCGAATAAATGACCAAAAATACCCGATTTTTGGAATTAGAATTGCTTATAAAAATAATATGTTCTTTTCTCTACGTTATTTCATCTATCTAAATATTCTAAAATTTTATAATTTTTTAAAAATGCACAATGATCTCATTTTATAAACATCAAAATACAATACAGAAAAAATATAATTATGATAGATCCGAATTTGACAACAACCAGTTTTTCAAGTATAAGTTTTTCTAATGGTTTCTTTCTTCTAAGACATTCTATTCTTCATTATCATATTTGTCCCTACTAAGAATAACTGCTCACATGAAGCCGAGAATCCCTAAATGGACAATATATCAGTTGCCATTTTTGACAACACTAAAAAATGATCCCCATACACCCGCCAATGGGCTCTTACTATAAGGAAAATTCATTAAGATATGTTTCAACCTCACATATGATGAGATAATATATTGTTTGAATATTTTATCCATGTTTGACTGGACTATTGTTTTATCAGATGAGTATTAATATTATATTTAACTTTGTATTCATTATATGTTTCCTTTAATTTTTATAATAAAGATGTCGTATTTATGTTATATGAGGTAGGTAATTATTCAAAAAACTCCATTATAAATAATTTCGAATAATACAAATAATTATGAATAATTCGAATCGAATAATAAAAAAATTTATATTCGACGAATACTTTTTCTCATTATTCATGTTCGATTCGAATTTTCGAAATCAAATCGAATCTAATCGAATTTCGAATAACAAATAATTCGTTTTAGGCCTAATTGGAGTATAGTGTAAAGAAAAATTGATAATCCTATTATAAGCCTCTTGATTTCTTGTTTATTTTATTTTATTTTTTTAAAACCTAACGGGCGATATTATAATATTTTAGTTGAACTTAATATATTTTTTCTCCCTTCATATTTAAAAAATTATATATTAATATCCGTAATATAATTTATAATATTTCTTTTGGAATTAATATTGGATTCTATTAATTTTTAAAACAGAACAATTTAAATTCAATTTTTCTTTACATACACAACGCATAAAAAAAATTTTATGGAACAGGTTGCAAAAACTTTTATAAAAAAAATATTTGAGGGCCGGTTCGGGCCTTGCTGATTGATAGAATATTAAATTTATTTGTAATTCAAAATCGAAACAAATAAAATATATATTAAAATAATACTTCAATTAGTTCTATTTTATATATACAACCTTATACTTAAGAATGTTAATTTTTTTTTGTAAAAAACTTACTGCTTAATTAATAAATTAGGCCCTCGTGTGTTCATAATTTTTAATTCTAATTTCATAAACTATAACGAACATACATCAATGGAATGCACATTTTCATTTTGTCACCGTAATGTTTTTCATTATATTTCAGCATATTTTTCATAAACTGTTTAAAAAATTGTTCCTTCAATCCTGATTTTTCTATATCAGCTAAAACATCTGGAAAACACCCTTGGACAAAATTCGCAGCGGCTTCGAGAGAAGGTTGAAACGAATATTTAATCTCGTCTAACTTTTCTATCGTTATTTTATCTTCTTTATACCCCGCCTCAATCAAGATTTTCTTATAAGCCATTATAGGATCATGTTCCATCATCCACGCACGTCTCCAAGGTAATAACAAACCGTCATGGTACTCTTTTAATTTTTTTAAATGTGGGCTAAATTCTTGATTATCTAAGGCTCTTTCAGTCGCGTAATTTAAGCTGCCTACAATTCTATCGCCTAATATTATATTAATAGAGCCTCCTTCCGAATTTATAACTTTTAGTAGATTAGCGAACGCTTTCAGTTGATCCCCCACCCAATGAAAACAACATGAAGACACAACGTGATCAATAACGTCTCCTTTAGTAGCGTTTAAAATATTTTCAGCCGCATTTTTGCTAGCTATATCTATATTAGCGAATGTCAAAGATTTTTTTTGAGAACAATATCGTTCCCTAGCGTATTCGGTCATTCTTGAGAGCAAGTCTATCCCTAAAATGTTTACTTCAAATTCAGTATTGTTATGAGCAGTTAATAAAGTTTTATATAGTAAATTGGTGGATTTACCATCTCCGCTACCGACATCTAATATATTATCGTGTTCCTTTATAAGTGGAACTATGCGGGAAATGAGATATTCGTAAATAGAGGATTGATATGAATTATGGCTGGCGTATGCCTCACAATCTGAATTCATATGCATTCTTTTAAAGAATTTTTTATTGTTATTTTTGTTAATTAAAAAAGTTTTTTTACAATTTGTATTTATAAGACATATGACAAAAGGTTGTGCAATTAATGATTTAAAATTTGTTTGTTTGACCAAAATGAAAGGAACCAAACCACCATTTTTTGCAATATAACGATAATAATTATTAAATTATAAATTATTGTTTAGAATCAACTAGTTTTCCTTTATGCTAGTTAGCAATAATAAAATAATATTTAATATGTTTTATTTTTTTATTTAAAACGAGATTATCATAATGATATTTATGGAATAGAATTTGCTTGCAGTTATTCCGGAAGTGTGTCATACGAATAAAATATCAAATTAAATTATTCTTGATATCATATAGTAGATATGATAAACCAGGTTAAAGGTATACATATATTATAATAAAAAACAAGTTTAGTCAATAATTTATGCCTTTTTAAAAACTAATTATTGCATTGAATATCCTCCGCAAATGCTAAACCTTTAATAAAATTCACACGGGGAGACCGTGGTTATTGTGAGCACTAAAAATGCAAACATCAATAAAATTAAATATTTGTACTTCATTATTTTTAAGAAACATATCTCATTTCACTCCTCTTTATAAGTTGTCTAAAAATTAATGCATTTTATATTATTTTTGTTACATTTAAAAAATATATATTTAGGGTTGGTAATATTTAGGGGAAATTTTCGATTAGAAAGAAAGCTGTTTTGGGAACTAAAAATTGATCACTTTTGCACCTTGCCGAAGCTCACTTATAAACATTGAATTCACTCCCACATTCAGATAGACGAGGTTTTCATTTTCTACTGTAAATTACTCTTTGTCGGTAATATCAGAAAAACATCTGTCTAGAGAAAGCAGGCTAGGCTCATATCCGGTTCGAACCCTCCCCTCAGGCCATTTTTTAAAATTCATTGGGGTTGGGCTTAATATTTTTTTAAAGAAAATATAGGACCGATTTGCATAAATTTTTTAAATAAAATGGTAATATTATAAAATTCTTGTAATTAAAAAAGGCACCAATGTTTTTCTTATTTGTTTGTAGGATGATCAAAAACTCGAATATGCTCATCTTAAAAATATAAATAGAAAAAAAAGTAAATTAATTCCTATATTTAATAAAAATCGGCGGGCGGCCAAATGAGTTTTATTTTGGGTTCGGGCTTTTCGGTTATATAAAAAAAAATTGTTTAAGATTAGACCGGACGGGAAAATTTAAAAAAATTTTTTGGGTCAGGTCGGGTTTGAAATTGTTCGATGAAAAACTATAAAGTGGCCCACTTATGGGTGGTTTGAAAAATTATTTTTCTTTATTTTTTCAGATCAAACGAATACTGAGTCATGTATTTTATCTTATAATTGCTGGATAAGTAAATCTGAATAAAAAAGAAAAATCTTAGTTAACTTTAATAAATAATTGGAAAAAGTTTTTATATCCCTGTGAAGAGTTTTAAAATATTTACAAATTATATTTTTTAGATAATTAATTAATTGTGCAGATGATGAAATTAATATTTTAATTTTAAAAAAAATCCCACAAACTTTTAATTGTTCTTAAAAGATAAAGAGTAAAATGAAACATTTGTTTTATTTACATTTTGCTTAATTTAATTTTTATTTTACATCGATATCAATTTTTAATAAAATAGCAATGTAAAAAAGGACTTTATATTTTTAAAAAAGAGAATATCCATAGTCGTAGCTGGGTGGCGGGGCATTTGGAAATTTGCCTATTCTCGTAAATATCTTATTAAGATAATAACCCCCCCCCCCCCAATGTATACAATAATATCCACGATAAACAAGAATTTAAAAGAAAAATTCGTAAAAGTTATTAATTTTTTAAAACACGCTTGTAATTCCAATTTGTTTGTTAAAAAAAAGCATTTTTATAAAAAAATAAAGTAAAAAAACCAAATTTTTTTTTATAAAAATCTAACAAAGCCAAAGGCAACAATAAGTGGTTTTAAAACTCCAATAAAATATACGGGAACCCCCACATAATAATGATCCCTCTATCAGCAAAATCCTTGCTACGCCTATGATAATATGATTAAATATTTTTTAAATAATGGGGATAGCAGACTCACTAATTATAATCCTGCGATTATATAATTTTTCGTCCTAACAAAGAAATTTTAACAACATTATTTAATTGCCTTTTTTTAGTTATACATCGTGTTTTTTTTTATTCAAATACTGGCAAAAAGTCACCATATTTTTTTTTAAAAAAATAGGAACTATTAAAGTTATATGTTGTAACATTTCAAATGCGAAGCGTCAGGGGGAAAAACTAAATTTTTTTCGCACTTATCCGGTATTTTGCAGTTATCCGTTATTTTTTAATTTATTCATGGATTATCATATTTTTATTTTAAAGTTTTAATATAATATTTATATAAATAATTTTCACCTTTTAAGGAAATTCACTAATTTCTGTCTTTCTTTTTTTTAAATTTCATAAAAAATTGGACCTTTGATATTTCATTAATTTAATAAGTTCCTTAGCTGTTAAACATTATAAACAATTAGGAAGTGTGATTAGATAAAAATTTAGATTCACGATTAACCGATATTATTTTACATTTAATGAATATAAAAAAGACATTAAAATTCCCATTTATCCTATAATTATCACTTAACGGATTTGCATTTATAAGATAGTATTTATTATTTTTCAAACAATATTTTGAAAATGGCGCTTTTCCTTCGCATTTAAGAATATTGGATTCTGTATATTTATTTTTAAATTAAAAATTATTCCAAAATATTTACTAGCCGTCCGGCTTATAGCAGACTTGTAGTAGTACTCTATCATAAATTATCATGTAACTTATTTTTTTAGCATATGTTTAATAATATCTTGAGTCCCCTGGCAGTGAGTTTGATCTCATTTTCTATATATTTTAGAAGAGAATCCTCATGATTAAAATTGCTATTGAATCTGACATAAATTTCTGCATATGGGAATCTTAGGGTGAATGTTTATGTTAAGTGAGGGTGTAAAAACATTTTATATGGGAGGATAGGCTTTCAACAGGATAGGTCAAAAAAAATTTTTTTTGGATAAAAGATTCTGTCATCGGAGAGCACTCCAGAATTGCAACTTCCATATTAATAATTAAATCACAAGTTTTTAGTGGCAGATTCACACGGTGAAAAATTATTTGCTTTTCGTGAGGAACCTCTCAAGTTCAAACCCAGGAATTTTTTTTAGTTTTAATATTTTCTTTACATCTGATATTTGTATTTGTAGTAATGTAGGAATATTGTAATATACTATTTATACATTATGAATGATTATATTCGTCAAATCTCGGGTGGTAGACTAATCAACAATGGAATCAATAATCAATATGGGTACTCTGAGGGGGGGGGGTCCGCCGATATTGATGCAACAAGGGAAACAATATTTATATTCTAGGCGAGATCAATCACACCAAGGTTGCTAATATTAATGCTTTTTTGAGAGATCAAAATTTAATTGGGGGGAGAAGAGTGGATGTTAAAAAGGTCACCACAAGGTAAAGGTATTTTTTTAGTAGAAACTTTAAGTAGTGGATGCCTCTAGGAGATGTAGGTTTCTTTTCAATTAATGAAGGGAAATTGTAGTAATGTAGGAATATATTGTAGTATACTATTTATACATTATGAATTAATATATTCGTCAATTATAAATGATCTATATATATATTATGATTAATAATAGGGTGAGTTAACTACCTAACATTCATATCTATTATAATGTGATATTCGGATCTCTAGATATATTTTTATATCCTGCCTTTTATTTGTATGTGTTATATGGATGAATAAATATTGTGTTTGCAATTATTATTCTATTTATAATAATATTCGATGCGAATTTTCTTTTAATGTAAAATATAACTCACACTAGACGGGGCATAATATTATTTTAAGCGATAAAAATTTCGCCTTACACATCCTCTTCTTCCTCAAAAATATAAAAATATATCACTATAAAAAAGAATTTAGAAGAAAAATTGTAAATGTAAATATTTTAAAATAACGACTATAATTTTAAATTTTTAGAGAAAACATTTTTATAAAAAAATGAGTGAAAACCCAAAATGATTTTTATAAAAATATAATATCGCCAAAGGCATACAATAAGTAGATCTAAGGACCTCTAATAAAATTTATATCGAAAACCTACCTATAGAGCCCCACCTCTCTTAGAAAAATATAGATATGCCTATGAGGATGGGTTATGGGTTAAATTAATTCATTGATTTTATATTCCTCTAGAATTTTGATGTAAAAAGAAATACCTGGAACAAAAAAATAAGATTATATATTAATGCTAAAACGAACACGATTCTCATTCTTAACTAATACTTAAGGATAAAAGTCTGAAAAAAGTTGTTATATTTGTGAAGTTGGAAGTAAATGGATAGAAATACATATGATTAACTAAAATACTAATGGGAAAGACAATCACATAGAATACATAATGCTGATATTCTATATTTTGAAGATTCAACCCGAAAAACCTTCGAGTGACATTTGGTTTATTATTTAACAGTCCATATGATAAAAAAGATCCCTTGATCTTGACATTTCTTTCACATCATCTATCCATGAAAAATATTTATGATAATAACGCATGGCAAAATTTAAATGACACTCTCCTTTCTCATGTAATTATAAAGGCTTTAGAGAAATTAAAATATGTCAGACCAACTCCTGTTCAGGTATAATATAGTGATGATTTTATTAAATATTAATTATTAAAATAAGGCTGCTACAATTCCTCTCTTCTTAAGAAATAAAGATGTCTGTGTTGAAGCTGTCACAGGTAGTGGTAAAACACTCGCATTTGTTATTCCTATATTGGAAAAATTACTTCGTTCGAATTGCAATATCAAAGATTTTAAAGTATGAATTTTTGGAAATTTTTACCTATATTTTAAATTATTGATTAGAAGTGATTTGTATGGTAATAAATATTTTTATTTAATGTTGTGATAACATCAATGAAATAAATCTTGTTAGTCAATATTTTTGGAGTTATTTATACACCTTTCTTATTATGTTATCTTCATTCTTATGGAAGAAATATGTATTTGTATAAGATATATTTTGTTATGTTATCTTTGGATCTATAAATAGTCAACCCTTGTTGCAATATTGCCCATGAAACAAATTATGGAATTAATTATCTCATTTTTCTTATAACCTTAAGATAAAAACCATTATCCTATCCCCTACTAGAGAATTAGCTCAACAAACCTATCAAGTCATTACAGAACAGTTTTTAAATTTCTTTGCAGATTATTACAATACAAATATCCCACACAAAGAAGGTGACTTAAATACAACAAACAACTTTAGCAATATCAAAAATGTGGATGATGTAAATGTCTTGAACAATGAACAAAATTTGAACACTACATCAAACACTCTTACAAATGAGTCTATTAATCCAAAATATCTGGATGATTCAAATGCTTTAAATAATGTTAGCAACACAAATTTCATTCCACAAATTGTTAATCCAATTATCAGATGTTGTCTAATGGTTGGTGGTTTAGGCAGCCCAGAGCTAGATTTGAAACGTTTTGTGGAGATGGGAGGCTGCCATATTTTGATAGCCACTCCTGGGCGACTTGAATATCTATTATCACGATCTATTAAAATTACGATCAACAATGGCATCTGTCAACGACCAATCACCCTTTCAAGGTTTTATTAGTTCAATATTATAAAAATTTCCTAGCTTCATTTTTTTTTGTTATAAAATAACTTTGTACTTGAAAGTAGAACTGTCTAATTTGCTATTTATTAAATCATTCTGAAATTGAAATATTTACTAAAAATGTATCCAATACTTTATTTAATAATTTTTTTGTTAATGTTATTATTTTGCAGCTTTTATATGTTAAAATAAGTATTATAATGGTTGGTTTTTGAGTCAGGCTAGACACCTATTTTTATGTGCCCAACAGTTGTTTTGCCTTTTTAAAACTTAGAATTGGGCTAGTCTTTATCATCATAAAAACTATACCTGATCTGACATCATTTAACAGCTGATCGATTTTTAAAATCTGTTTATGAGATCAATTTCTTTATTAATATTAATTATATTTTAATTCTATTCATAATAATAATCTAATGATTATTGATTTTATGATAAATTGATTTCATTAAAAGATTTTTAAAATTGCTTGGCTGTTAAATTAAATCATGTCAGATGACTGGGTTGGATAACTTGTACAAAATTATTTTATATACATCGATTTTAAGAAAAACATGATTTTAGAACAAAACCTTTCGATTTTTACGAAATTTATTTCATAAATTAAGGGTTGAGTAAAAGGTTAACCTGTTGCTCTTATAACTTTTGAGGTATTAGGGATATAAGCATAAAAATTGGTCTTTTTATGATGGTTGGGTTTGATTTAAATAATGATTGATTAAAACTACCTTCCTGTTAGATAATATATTTATTATCGAACATAAATTTAAATCGAGCATTTTTTGCCCAGAACAATATTTAAAAACATTATTTCACATAAATGGGTAATCCCGATTTTGATAAAATTTTAAACGTATTACTTTTCCATTTTGAAATCGGTATTTTAACAAAACGCGCCCATCGTTTTTTATGAAATTTTATATTTTATTATAAAATATATATATATTGAACCCATCTAACCAATTTTTGAAAAAAAATATTGAAAGTTTTGCATTATTTTTAAATCTCAATTTTCAGAGAAACTTATCGATCAAATTCCAAAAAAATTTGAAAATTTTAAATTAAATATATTCTTAATTAAAAACATAAATTTGCAAAAAAAGGCGAATAACACTTTTTTAGTACTATAAATATTTCAAAACGCTATGTTTTTAAGTCACTTGGTATACTCATTCTACTATTTTTTTTATATCACATGTAGGTGTGTCAATGAAATCGAAAACTTGGTATTAGATGAAGGGGACAAGTTTTTGGAGATGGGATTCATGCCTAGCTTACAAAATATCCTCAGCTACTTGCCTAAACAGAGAAGAACTTGCCTCTTTTCAGCTACTTTGGTAGGTCATCTTAGATATTTATTTTCTCTTTGGTCGGAAGACCATTATTTGTCATTAAATTATTTAGAGTTGTGACAACACTATTTTATATTTTTTTACTACCTTTCTATCCCTAGATTTGTCAAATATCATAATTCATTTAACTCAATTTAACTGTGATTCACAAAAATAATAAATATTCGAATTTATTTTGGAGATAAATTAATGTGTTGTGATGAAGAAATATGGAATATGCTTAAATTTAGTTTTATATTGCTTAATAGTTTTCTTTAAATTTATATTTAACGATCGCTTTAAATTATATGTAGAATGAACAGATCGATGGCTTAATCAAGGCTGGCCTAAGAGATCCCGTTTCAGTGATAGTTAGACAGAAAATGGCTTCCTTGTCATGTGACCCCACGATAACCCTTGCAACTAATAGCGTTCCGGCTTCCCTCAAATGTTTCTACCACGTTTCGGACTACTCATCTAAATTGAATTCTCTCGTGGGCTTGCTCATAAGCCAGGATTCACCTTTATACAGTGCCAAGAAAATTTTGGTATTTGTTAGCAATAGATCCAGCGCCCTATATTTTGCCAAAGCCTTAAAACTGTTTTTCGATGAATTTTACGGTTTTAGCGACGTAAAAGATGCCAAAAATAATGATAGGAATAATTATAGAAATACGATAACGGGGCAAAACCAATCAGAAAATTTCGAGACTGAACGTTGTCGCCGAGTTAGTTCTTTTAATTCATACAAAGAATTTCGACCTCTCGTGTCTTGCCTACACCGCAAAATGAGGGCTTCAAAACGTTCCAAAATATTAGGTTCCTTTAAATCGCTAGACGATGTCGATCATCTCGACAAGACACCCAATAAAAATGCCGGAAATTTTATATCTGGAAAACTCGAAACAAATTCGTCGATATCTATCCTTACCGCCGACACTTTAACAAATATAGATGAAATTTCTGACACATCTACAAAAAAACTAGTCAAAAATGCCAAAAAGCGGGGCAAAAGCGTATCTAATCTTAGCCATGAACTAGATACGAAACACATCCTAATAGCGACGGACCTAATGGCCAGGGGAATACACATTTCCGGATTAGACTGGGTAGTCCATTTTGATCCACCCAGTGATGGTCAGATGTTTGTTCACAGGTCGGGAAGAACAGCCAGAGCTGACCAACTAGGCCGAGCTCTGCTCATGTTACATAGCCCTGGGCCGGAAACAGATATAGTGGAATATCTGGCCGTGAGTTTTGGCGTAGCTATCAGACCCTTACTTTTAAAGGGAAATAAAAGGTAACTTTAAGAAAATATATTTTATATGTGTAGTAATTTTCAAAGGAATCAAGATTTTTTAATGGGTACTTAAAATAATTTACTTTTTCAAGTGTAAGAAATACAGTGAAGAGGGGGATATTTTTCACCAGATGTTAAAACAAAATAAAAGGATATTATTATATTTTTATCTTAATCATACTAAAACATTAATCTATGTTAAAAAAATATTAAACAACTTTTTAAAAAAATGCCGCACTTGAAGTTTATAATTAAAAAAACTTTTTTAACATAAAGAAAACATATTTTTTCACATATCATTTACATAATTTAATATTTTTGTATATTTAATTTAATATTAATTAATTTTTCAATCTTTACACATATAATGTTTAATATAGACTACTTACTTTATAATTTTAATAACTCTCCTTTACTCCCAAGTACTTCTGTAAATTATTCTTTGCCAATCTCAGATGGGAATGATATGGAAAATTATCAATCACATTCTAGCATTTCTGCAAATAATAATTCTTTAGCAACTATTAATGAAAATATAAATCATTCTCAAGTATCCTCCATTCCTAAACCCAAAAGAACATAAAATTGTTGGAACAAAGATAAAATTGAAATGGTAATGAAAATTTTAGTAATGCCAGAGGAAGAACAGATGAAGATTAAGGACATTGCTAAATTTGTTAATATGTCGAAGGCCTCAGTACATAAAATAAAAAGGGATACATTCCCAGAAATTATTGGTGAGCCTTTAAAGGAATTCTCTCTTAAACAAAGAGGGAGAAAAATAAAAGATACAGCAAACATTGAAAGGCAAGTTATGGATTTGCTAATGGACAATAATACCTTCACGGTGAAGGATATAATTGAGAATTTGCCTTCTGGTTTGCCAAAAAATATTGGAACCATAAGGAAATATATCAAAAACATCCGATGGTCCAAAAAAAGAGCTGGGAAAGTACCAGATTGCAGGAATACACCAGGAGCTATCAATATTCGGCAGGTATATTGCCGCAAATTGCTGAACATCTCCAGAGAAAGACTCTATTTTCTCGACGAAACAGGCATCAATTTTCATGTTGTACCTGTCTATGCTTGGGCACCACTCAATGTGAGACCAACAATAAAGGTTCCATCCTCAAAAGGGAAAAATGTAAGTGTACTTTGCACTATAGGAATTTGTGGAAGTTATACATTTTAAAATCATCGAAGGATCATATAATGGTATATTATTCCGAAATTCGTTAATGGAGATTATTAGTATGTTACCACCAGATGCCATCTTAGTTATGGATAATGCTTCTATACATAAAAGTCATCTAATTGATGCCTTTAAAGAGAGAATAGAGTATCTCCCCCCATAATCACCACAATTGAACCCAATTGAAAATTTTTTCGGGGTCTTCAAAAACAAATATAGGTCATTAATTCCCAGACCAAGCACAAGGGACCACATAATAACAAATATTAATCAAATTATGCATCAATTTATTCCTTATGATTTTACAAATTTTTATAATCATATGCAACAATATTTGGAGCTGGGCTATCGTGGACTACCTATTGACTAAAGTAATCTAATTATATAATAAATTACGATTAACATTTTTTAATATTTTAATTAAATAGGTACTACTAAGCAAGCAATTTATGACTATGATATGAACTACCATTAAATATTTCATATTTTATATAATCAATATTCATGTATTAATGTAATTACGAATTTATTATATAATGTTTATATGTAATATACGAATTGAATAAAATATTAAATTAAAGTTATGTCTCAAATATGATAAAATAAAGTGAGAGAAAAAAACTATTTTCAGAAATAAAAGATTTTGACTAAGATCTAATAACTAAGATGAATAATTTATCATTATTTTTAAAATTATTCTACATAAAATATCGTTAACTAAGTTAAAAGAAAATATGTGATGACAAAACTTTATATTTTTTTAAAAAAATTTTTTAAGTGTGACATTTAATGTTTAATATTTTTTTAACATAGATTAATGTTTAAGTATGATTAAGATAAAAATATAATAATATCCTTTTATTTTGTTTTAACATCTGGTGTAATATCCCCCTAATACGGTACCTTAATAATAAGGAATCTTAATTTAAAACGCATTTCACTTTATTTTTGATTTTATTTATATATTTTCACTTTTAGAGGTATTTCTTTTTTGGGCTTATAAAAGTAGATGTGTTAAATATTAGTTATTAACCGATAATTGCTCAAAAAAATCTACCCACTTGGAGGTCAACCGCACCTTTTTAAAGAGCAAATATAGGTAGGTCCTGAGGGAGGGGCATAAATATTTTAATTATTATAAAAGATTAATATGATTATCTAATAAAAGATTGATATGATTATCTAATAAAAGATAATTAAAATAGCTTTTGATTGCAATGTTGATCATAATTCAAGTGGGTCGGTCTAGGTCTTACAAGATCAGGAATTTGTAAAAGAATTATAACATAAATATTCAATAGAAGTATTAAATGAAGGCTATGGTTGTTAGATAGATTTGGCCTTGACCAGGGTATGGGTTAAAACATAAAATTTGTTATGGTTAAGGTAAAAATATATTTTGACTAGTGTTATTTATCACTCTTATTGGGCGCATCTAGGTTTGAGGAGTTTAAAAAATTTTTATAATATCATTGGAATAATTAAATCAATCGATGATTTTTTTTGGATAAAAAACATGATTTTGATTTTTTTGTTTTATTTTGATAATTATTTGTTTACTTTTTTCGCAAGAATTTTATAAATTTTTATAAATTGAAAAAATGATTTAGACCACTATTTTAATTTTACATGAAAAATAGCTTAATAAATTTATTTAATTTTTTTTTGATATTAGGTCACACTCTAATAAACTATAATTTTTTTTAAAGAACTTATCTTTTAACCCCCATCTCCTCATATATTTCCATTTTTAAGCCTTATTTCAAACCCTGAAATTCCTGATATATTGGAACTCGTGCGATGTGAAGCCCAAAGGGACAGATCCTTCATGCTTAAAGGTGTCAAAGCGTTTGTATCGCACGTCAGATCCTACGCTGAAAATAAGCTTAATTTGATCTTCCGGGTTAAAGACTTACCGCTCGGCGAATTGGCCAATGGTTTTGGTCTTCTGTACTTACCCAAAATGCCAGAAGTAGCTAAGCAACATAGGCAATCCGATTATAACCGATTAAATCACGCGAAATTGAAGGAAGAAGTATTTGTATCGAATATCGATTCGAAACACTTGGATCCATCATTTCTTAACCCAGAAAAAAAGGAAGAAAGAGGTAATGTGAAATTAGAGCCTCTTCTATCAACAATAAGAGGGGAAATTTTGGGATTTAAAGTTCCTTTTCCGAGTCTAGACATTGGAAGCGTACCATACACTGACCCGGACCTCGAAGAGAAAAGATTGAAAATTTTGGCCGAAAAGAAATGTTCCGATCTTATCAAAGGTTCTAACACTGAGGATAAACCAGATTCTAAGATAAAGGGATCAAAAGTAAATTTTTCTTAAAAAAAAAATTAGTAATGTTTATATTTTATTTATATTCGGTTAATTGTGTAGAATTGTTAATATATTCATGGCTGTTTGTGAGTCAAAAAAAATAATTTTGGCAACTTTTTTCATTAAGTTTGAGGATACAGCAACAACCAAATATTATGTAGGTTATAACATTGAAATTTGTCAGAATCACTTAGACTAATGCATCATTTTAAGCGCGATGGCACTCAAGCGATGAAATTTTTAAAATACATAGTGCTAAATTATATAGCTATATGGCACTTACTATTAACGATACCTAAAGCTAGGGTTTAACAAATTAGGTGTTTTGTAATCTTTAAATAAAACTATGATTTAATAAATAATATATTACTACCATTTACTTAAATTTAGAATTAACACAACTTGTGAGCATATCATAAAAATTTTTAATATTGCAAATCCTCGAATAAATACTTGATATGTCGACTCACGAGTTAAATTCATAAGCCGACAATTCTTTTTAAAATTAATAGTTCTGAAAATTTATTTTTTAATAACATAGATAATTTGTAATTTATTTATCTATTTTTTCGATTTATTAAAAAAATAAGATGAAAACGATTATGAAATATATTTAATTAAATGAAATTTGTACCCTGGCTAGTGTTGTTAAACGGCTCATTTTGAGCCGATTTTTAAAAACGGCTAACTCATTATTTCACCCAGAAAAATATTACGTAAGCCTGAAGATTTTGCTCACTGAAGGAACAAAGATCCAATCATATATTATCGAAATCTCGAGGCTAAGGCAATATTTTTCTGGTTAAAATATTGAGTTAGCCGTTTTAAAAAATCGTCTCAAAACGAGCCGTTTAACAAACCCCTAGCCATTAGGTCCGTCGCTATTGCCAAGTATATATCAGAATTTAGACACAATCTTCTAACATGCTGACCAAATTTCAAAAATTTAGCTCACTATCTACTGAAGAATTTACTTGTGAATAATTTTTTTAGCTACTTTTTCCTCTACTCTTCCATTCTCTTGGTTTATTTTGATTCTTAAATTGATTAGTTTCTGGAGGGAAAATTGATTCCGACTTTAAGCAAAAATAAATATTTTTATTATTTCAATTTTTTTCTTTTATTAAATATCTGACTACCGAATTGGGACCGGTTTGGTCAGGTCGAATCAACGCGATACTTGTCAAATTGGGTTGGATTGTATGGGTCGGGTTGAGAGTAGAAAATAATTTATTGATTTGTTTTTCAGCAGGCAGCAAGCAAAATTTTAACTGCCGGCTACATGTTGGGGGGAAAAAGAAAGCGCCTAGATTCTGTTATTTTCAGTAATTGGAAATTGGCTTAAATCAGTTTCATTTTATTTAATGTAAAACTAAAAAGTCATTTCTTAAACTATAATTTTCTAAAAAAAAACGAGTCTGCTTAGGAATTTAGCTCTTGAATCTGCTCAGTATTCTTATGCGCTAGTCGAATCAAGTCGAATTCGATTTTCCGACTAGAAACTCGAGTCATGGCTAAGTTTACTCTCTTTAGCCGGATTTTATATTTAATAAATTGATTTTTTAAAATTTATTTTCTTGTTTTAGAAAATTTTAAGTCGGAGACGGAGGGCAAAAAGAAAGCAGGTTTTGGATAAGAAAGACATTCAAGAATTCGCTATAGACGCCAGGTTGCTTAAAAAGCTCAAAAAGAAAAAGGTATTTTTTTTTATTATATCATTAAATATATACACTATTAGTACTAGAGATCAGTTACCCGGCCCCTGGTAAAATTAGTTCTGGATCTGGCTGAACACCCGAAAATTTTTACGGTTCGGTCCGACCCAAACTGAATTCTAATTAGTTTATCTTATATCGGAAACATATAGACCCACTCGCCATTGCACCCGGGCTGGGTTTATTTTTTTAACAAATGAATTTAAATTATATATCAAATCAGTTGAAAAATCGCGTGATGAATTGTATAGACATTAATTGTTTGCTACTCCTCTTATTTATTTTTCCATTTCGCTTTTGAAACAAAATATATCCAAAATGATTAAGAATGACAAAATTAAAAAAATTCTGGGTAAGCTTAGAAATTAAATTTTAAGAAAAAATCCAAATGAAATTGAAAATTAGGTCGCACCTAAAAACGTGTACCTCCGATTTCTGATTTTTATATAAAATCAATAAATCTATCATATTATGGTAGCTATTAAAACCAATGAACTCTGGTGGGTCAAGAAATTATAATTAGTAGACTTGTTTCTATAATCGGGTTTTTTTCAAAATAAGTAATGCCATACAATGGCTAATGGCAATGAATATATATACAATTATCAAATTATATTCGTTACATATTGCCGGTAATAATTACATATTTATCTTCGTTCAGATTTTTCGGAACTTTCTTTGCATGAGTTCATTTATAGCTTATGGTTTGTAACAGCTGTCTACATATAATTAATTTAACTGTGTGATTTTTATGGTAGTCTTCCTTTGATATAATTTGTTGACTCTTCCCTCGCCATTTTCGTTTTTATCCGTCGTTTTTATTTTTTATTCGCCGCCCTTCTATATTTCCTTCTCCCAAATTTTTCTCCTACCTGATCCTCTTGTCCTATGATAGATAGGGCTATACCAATATTAAATTTCGGTATCGGATCCTCGCCGATATTGGATTGGCCGATATTTTTTAATATGCAGCTGATGCCGATTTTATGCAAATTTTTATTTTATAGAAATTTTTTATTTATTTTTGAACTAATTTTCCTTTCTTGTAATAAATCTTTATAACTCTCATAAAAAAGTGTCTTATAAGATAAAAATGTTTAATATTTTTTTACATTTTCTAACCATAGAAGAAGTAAATAAAAGAAAATTACCCAAAATTTTATTGTGTCTTGTTTAATCATTTGAATATGATTAATTAACAAAGATATCAATATTTTTACTATCGATTCTCTTGATTATTGGATAATGCTCATAATTTTCCAACTTTATCATACCTTGCAGGTTAATATTTAGCATCTCCTGCAACAAGTGCTCAATTAGTATCAGTCTTCAGCACCGTTGGTGATGGCTTTCATAGGAGAAACCTATTATCACATAAACTTGAGGCTCTTATCTTTATAAGGAGAAATATCGAATATTATAATTTTAAATATTTTATATTTCATTTATTTCTCAGAGACCTGCAGAGGTACCATTTGCACGGACGGACCCGGATTTTTTTCTAAAAAATCTTCAGGCTCGACCCTAATTTTTTTAAAATATATTTTATATATTTAAAATTTTTATATCTAATAATGGCGATTTAAAATATTTGATTTTAAAATATATGGCCCGGCCTGGGTATTTTTAGTAAAATTTTTTAGGCCCGGCTCGGGTATATTTAAAAAATTAAAATACAGGCCCAGGTAGGGCCAGGCCTGCTGGTGATTATTTTGTTAATTGATATCTAATTTATTTTTACTTTTTATTCAAATAAAGATGCATAGTTTGTTATACAGAAAATTTAATATGAATATATATATATATAGGGTGCTAGCATATAAATCTTATTCATATTAAGTCTAAAATAGATAAGTAAAAATTCTGATCATCATTAAAAAAAATTATGGAAATATAATTATTCTCTAAAAAATAAGACATTTCTACATATTTAAACCTAAGATATTTTTAGAATTTTGAATTTTAAACTTTGTAATTCTTTTTGATTTTAAGAGCCGAAATAAGTTAATATTTTAATGAAACGCGTAAAAAATAATTATACAGATTTTTATTATCTTTTATTACATAATGACAAAAAAATGAATGTAAATATCGATATCGGTTATTCGTGAAATGAATATCGCGAATCGGTGATAAAATTGTGGTGCAGCCATAATTGCCAGTTTTCTGTCGGTAAACCATGAATTTTATTCGATGTCGTATGCCTAATCTCCCACTTTCTAATTAATTTCTTTTTTTTGCAATTTTTCATCTAATTGAGCCACTTTGATAGGTTTTAAAATTATTATTATGGCAACCCCCCAGTGCTGCCTACTCATATGCGACAGGCCATCGAAATGACACAATTATTACCATGGATCCATTATTGAAACTTCACACGCCTTATATCTTACCATTTTTCATCCTCGAGTCAGTGACCATTATGAAAACCTGATAGGCAGGATCAATTACGAAGGGAAAGACTCTATAGAAGTGCGAATGTATTTATCGAAGAAGGCAATTGTGAACAATAATTATGTACCACCGTTTACATATTATATACGATAAAAATAGCTTGGGTGGACAAAAGAAAGTTCCAAACAAAAAACTGTTTAACTGGTGAATTGTTAGCCATTTAATCTTATTTCAAAATAAACACTCAAGACTAACTCATAAGAAATCGAGCTCATTCATAGTTTGATGAATTAAAATTAATTATTATTTTTTACCTTAGTCTCCCATTTTTAAAAATATAAACTATTCACGATAATTTATTTTAAAATTAATTGAATACAGATAAATACCAGTGATTTTGATAAAGAATTCTATTCTGGGTTGTGAAAATTTATGCCATTTCACGGTAATTTTTTTTTTACAATAACTTATTAATTTCAAAAATTGAATTTGTTGTTAATAAAACAAGTATACATTATTTATATTATGTTTTATTAGCTGACAATGAGTTTAAAGATGTAAAAAATTTAATAAGTGACTGATGGGAAAAGATTCCTCTTTTAATTTGTAAATTTCTAAACCGGAAAGCTAGGGCTCTGTTTTACCGATCAAAACAGATGCGATGAAAAATTTTTAAAAGATTTGTCCCACCAAATCCTACAATTATTTTAAAGTCCAAAAAAATTGTTCGAATCGGGCTATGGAAATCAGGATCTGGCCGACTGATTCCGGGAAAATATCTATCAGAGTTTGACCGATTCTATTTCTGTCAGACTTTGGGCGCTGCTTTATGCCATATCATGATAATATATATTAGTGATCTGCATCGAGCCTAATTTTCAAGCCCGGCCCGAAATTTTTTTTAAAAAAAATTTACAGACCCGGCCCGAATTTATTTAAATATAGAAATTAATTCTTATAACTCAAAATAAAAGACATATGTTATATGTCGTTTAGTTTCAATATATAAAATCAAATATTTTTATTTTACATAAAAAATTCAATATATAATTGATAGATTTACATATATTTAAAAAAATTTCCAAGGTCCGACCCGACCCGGTCCTAATTTTTTTAAAAATATTAGGCCCGGCCCAAACCCAATTATTTTAAATAGAATTAGGGTAAAGCCCGGCCCGTTCGGGGGCCGGACTCGGGCCGGGCCTAACTTTGCAGATCTCTAATATATATATATGTTTTATTGAACTATAAATATCTATCCCCCCAATATAACATTTACTTTATATTATTGTTAGGTGCCAATTTTTCAGTTATCCCATCAAGTCTAAAAAAGGCTAGGGCTCAATTTAATAGTTATATCGTGACAGCCTTTTTCGCAGAAAAAAAACACATTTCGCATACTTTATAATATATATACATACAATAAAAAAACAATGATATTATAAATATTATACAGAATTTCCCCAAAAATTCATAATAAATCTCTCGAGTATCTATTTTTTTTAACAATCCTTCTCTTCTGCTGAGTATTAAAATGTTCTATATCACTTTTTTAAAATTCTCCACTCAGAAGAGCATTTAATAAAAAAGATTTCTTGTATTTTGAATAGGAAATCACGAAGTAATAATGGAAATAAATGATTATTTTCAATAATATTTTAACATTTTTATCGTGGATATATAAGAATATAATAGTGAAGAATTCATTTATCAAAAAAAGGAAGTATTTTGCCAAAAAGTGGATATGGAACACTGATACTCAGCCGACGATGTTATTTCACAATATTATAGTTAATTTCATATATTTATATTTTTTATAATGAACTTCTAGAAAAAATGAATGTTAATTTGTATAAAATATATAATTTTTTTTATACAACAATAATTTGCTTTGACAATTGAGGGTTAAATTTTCCTCCTTCTTCTATGCTATCGACTTTCTAAAAGAATAATTCTATTGTATAATAGTAATGTAAAAAAACATAGTGTACGGCATTCCCTTTATATTTGATTACCTTTAAATCTGAACGGCTATAACTTCTGTGTTCTTTTAGAATTTATAAAGAACAATATATTATTCGATACCTATAACTATACTCTATAAACATGTCTATAAATATTTTTAAGAATATAATCATATTTTTGAAATTTGCCCAAGCCCCATGCAAGGAGCTTTCTAATAGTTTTTTTGAGGCTATAATTAATCATAAGCATTTTTATTTATTAATAATGAATGATACGTAATAATTTCATTGTTCAAAATATAAAACTTTTAAATTGACGCTAATTATATATATAACATAAAAATAAGGATCTTAAGGAGAGATTATGATTTTTTAGCGTAAATCCTAAATACCGATCATACGCAGCTGGAAATCTTAAGATTTTGAAGTATTTTTTAAAATAAATACTCATAAAATTTTTCAAATTATAAAAGAGGGCTAAAACTTTTAAAATTGAACTTGATATAAATTTTTAATAATTATTTCAAAAGATTTTTTGCCTAATGCATATTAATAAAAACTATATTAGTATAAAATTTAAACCTTTAGTCTATTTAATTTTAAACAAGATTAAGTGGTTTGCCATGTCCGAGGGTTTACCTAACCCCAGTCTCCCCTACTTAAAATTCTTCCTCAATTTAATGGGAGAATGATGATGCCTGAAAGGACATTGGAGTTTTTTAGCTTCCCCATTGTCCAGGATACGGGATGCATAGGATCATCATTTCCTTAACTGGTTACAACAATGGAGGTGGATCACTTGAAAGGCATCTGATCGTATAAACTAACTAAAATTCTTTATGACCACATAAAAATGATTGGGTGATGAGAAAAAAAGCACAGTGATGGGAGCGAGGCATTTAAGATATCATGGGTGAAAGTGGTTATGAGAAAATTGGTTCTTCCGTGTTATGCTCAGAATCGTGGAAACATGGTAAAGGAGATTAGTAGGTCAACTGTTTACACTGTCAGACCTGGAAAACTACAACTAAACGAACATGAAAAGAAATAATATGGGTAAAGACCCAAATTCTAATAAATTTTTTTATGATGTTTGTAGCTTAATTTTTACCAGAGAGAGATAAGTATGAAAAGTCTTCAGAGGCAAGTTAGTCTTTTCAAACTTAAAACCTTTTTTTATCGAAGTCTTGGTCAAACCCGTAATTATTTTTACTCGTTCAATATCTTAAGAGAACATTATAAAATTTTATATTACTTTTATGATATGATATGTTTATATGATTTTTCTAGCAGAAAAATTAGATTTCAATATTATTGTTTTTTTTACTGGGAAACATTAAATCGTAATAATACTATTTATTTTTTAAGGGTTTTAAAACTTTAAATACATGTTTAATAAACTGTTAGGTATGTTGTACGTTGGGGTATTAGAGCCTAAAAATAAAATAGAAGAAATAAAATTAAATACTAATTCCTTTATTAAATACTATTAATTATAAATTAATCAATTATTAATTAACATAAAAGGGAAAAGTAACAAAATTAAAAATTAAGAAAATTATAAGCGAAAAATAAAAAGTGAACAACTCCAATTATTAAACCTTAATATATGAAAAATCCACAATTATCACGCGTTTTCCTCTCATTTGTCTAAATAATAAAGTAATAATTTTAATAAAACATTATTTTTGTTTGAATATTATCACAATTTGAATAATAGATTACAACACCCTTCCACTAGACCCACCATTCAGCGAATAACTAACTATCTTTCGATTTCCACTTTACTGATCTTATATATCCACTAAATCTATTCTGCTTAATCTTTAAGGTTTTCTAATTTCTAACACGACGGCTCTTCCTTTTCTAGTATTCTTAGTTTATAAGGACCATTCGTATCCAATTACAGCTTGAAATTCTTGAATTATATCTTCTGTTGCTTGTCAACCCCTAGCAAACGATCTTTATCTCTGTAGGCAATTGACGAACTCGATTAACTCATGCTTTCAACTATTCATGATGACTAGTTACCAATTATTGATTGATGCTATTCTTTCTTTACAATCTTTGTTTCTTCTAAAGCCCGTTTTAAATCTTGATAACTTATTCTAGTCTTTGCTTGTTTCTAACGTTCTCTTGTAACTAAACTCTTTATCACGGTAATTGATTATAACGGGTAATGGATTACGATTACATGTAAACGATTATCGATGAATTCTAGTCACTTTTTCAATTATAGTCCGTCTTAGATTCTTTTGGTAAATTATCCTTAATTCAATACACGTATTCGACACCCCTTCCTTTAAATCGCCTACATCCATTCTGAACTGCCCATACAGGATAACTAGTTATAAGTGATGACTGATTCTAAGACATTGAGTTATCCCAATCTTTCGCGAAGACATCTCTCTTGTCCCATAATGTCTACGATAAATATCTCTTATAACGATAACGCTCTTTTGTAACGATACTGCCTCTTATCACGATTCTACCGGTACCAATCTTTTGTAACAATAACCATTTCTTGTAATAAAGATCTCTTATACTATAACGATTTCTTGTATCTTAAATGCAAAATAAAAATTCGATCTCTAAATGAGCTAGATTGCGGCATGAATTTTCTAATAATGAAAGCCGTTTCTCTTCCTGAAGATTTTGGTTAATCAACAACCTTATATTTTGCTAAATATTATCAACTTACATAACATTAAACGTATATCTTTAAGAATTATAACAAATTTCTTTTAGCTAAAACGATCACTTGTACGTATAACGATCTCTTGTGACAAATTCCTTTTAACTATCAGAATCTCTTGTAACTAAAACGACTAATTCTATACTCTTTCGAACTACGACCATTTGCCTAGATATTGATACCATCGTTTCATTGATCTCATTCTTTGTTTTAGTGTCGATGGTCATTTCATACATCCCCTTCCCCTTTTATTTAGAATTTCTTTTCAGAGTTAATTAGGCTGAAGGTTTAGGCCCATAGAACATACTGTTTCGACACCATTGTTGTAAGTCGGGGTATTAGAGCCTAAAAATAAAATAGAAATAAAATTAAATACTAATTCCTTTATTAAATACTATTAATTAGAAATTAATCACTTATAAATTAACATAAAAGGAAACAGTAACGAAAGATTAAAAATTAAGAAAATTATAATCGAAAAATAAAAAGTGAACAACTCCAATTGTTAAATTCTTAAAGTATGAAAAATCTACAATTATCACGCGTTTTCTTCTCATTTGCATAGTCTAAGATACATCAAAATTACAAAAGATTTTCTTATTAAAGATTTTGGCTTTTTTAGGCAAAATTTGATCTAACAAAATGAAGATTTTTTTAATGTTTACAGCACTATCAAATTCTTATGATAAAAAATATATGAAAGTAATTGATTCCTTTTTTGTGGCACTTTTTTTTCAGGTAGAGATAATGTTAAACATTGAGGCGCGAATTTATTTATGCTTTCTTCAAGTTTAAGTTATATTTTCAATATAAAACTAGAGGCTGAGATTGGTTAGGTTATAATAAGTTGTTATATAATCTACTTGATAATTATTTTTAAAATAAAAATTGGACATTTGTATAAAAATATAACTATGGTAGGATTTCGACATATCGATACTTAAGGAATCAAAAATTTTGCACGTTTATATGCGAAAAAAAATAAACCCCTATTTAACATTAGAAAATTTTGGAACCAGGTATTCAAAAACCTTATATCCGAGAATATTAAAGATAAATTTTAGCAAACAGTATATAAAATGTTTGTACGAAGTTCCCCACCCCTACATTTCCTAGTAAAATAACGGGTATGCCTATGTCATATATTGTGTTAATTTATATTTTTCGTGTTCACGTAAGTTTAAATAATTATTTTGCTCTACTTTCCCTATAATTTAAACCGTTAAATTTTATAGGGTACAAAAAAAATATCTGAAGATTCATATATATGCTAAATCATTTATTTTTATTACATAATAATTTATTTGAACGATTATCTAGATTACCTTGCTTACCGAAAAGAAATTTAAAATTTTGATTCCCTTCGACTTCATCAAAGACAAAATAAAATAATTTATTAATCTTCTTTTGATATTACCTTGCGGCTATACGTATTTTTTTTCATAAGTTACAAATAATTCAAGGAGGACTTTCAAAAAAAAATTTTTTAACGCCTTTATTCATTTATCGATAATAAAAAAAATTTAAAAAAATGTTTATGAATTCGAATTGCGAGGTCTATGCCAACCATAATTCACATCAATCTTCTATCTACGCATATCTAATTTTCCGCTTAATTCCGCGCATCAAAGAACACGACAAGATATTAGACGTTGGTTGTGGAGATGGTAAATCAACCAATTTACTTTACAAAACTTTACTAACGACTAATAATGATGAATTCAAAGGCAGCGTTTTAGGAATCGACATACTCTTACCAATGGTGGAATACAGCAGGAAACATTATTGTTCAAGTAAGAATTCATTGGCGTTCGCCAAAATAGATATAGCTAGTGAAGACGCGGTCGGAAATATTTTAAGTACCATAAAAGAAGGTCTTATTGATCACGTGGTGTCTTCATGTTGTTTTCAGTGGATCGAAGATCAACCAAAAGCGCTCTCTAATCTACTTAAAGTTCTAAATCCGAAAACGGGTTCTATTAATTTGATATTTTTTTATAGGATCATAGAAAGTTTAAATTATGCAACTGATGTAATCCTAACTAATGAAGCATTGAGCCCATATTTAAAAAAGCTAAAGGAATACAATGAACGTTTTTTGTTACCCTGGAGGAGAAGTTGGATGATAGAACCCGACCCTATAAACTCTTATAAGAGAATCATGATCAAATCAGGTTGTAAAGAAGATAAAATAAAAATAGAACAATTAGACGAAATAAAGTATTCACTTCAGCCTTCCTCGGAAGAAGCTGTAAATTATGTCAAGGGATTTTTTCCGGATGTGTTAGCCGAAATTGACAAAGTTGGATTGAAGGAGGAGTTTTTTAAGCAATTTGTCGAATATATTTTAAACTATAACGAGAAACATTATGGAGACAAACTTAAATTCTGTACTCCATTGATGTTTGTTCAATATAGTTTATAAATAAAATTAGAGGCCAAATTTATTAATTTAATACCTTCTTTTATATGACGATTCTGATATATTTATTGATTTTGTAGAATTAAACGAAGGCAATTACAATAAAAAGACGATAAACTAGACCTTCATTTGTAAAAAATTTAGATATAAATATAATATATAATTTTATTGCAGTCATAATCAGAACGAAAATAAACGATTTATAGCTCAAGATACTACGACCTAATATTTTTTTCTAGTATGAATATATATTTTCCCTTCGTGTCTTTCAAAATTAAGACATTGCTGGAAAAGAAGTCTCATTTTTTAAATTTAATTGTTATCTTTTAACAAAAATCAACTTGAGCATATAATTTTATTATGATTAAAATCAGAAAGTAAATGAATGATTAAAACCAAATAACAAAAAAAGGGGGTACAAGATTTTGAAAAAATTCAAATAATTTTGAGAAAACCGGATATTTTAAAATAAGTTCAGGATTTTAAAAAAATTTATAAGCTGGCTAGGTTGACATTAATTAAATTGATTTCATTTATTTAACCAAATTTAAATACTAATTTTAATATAAGTTGCATAAATTTATATATTTTTCTCTAGAGATTTAATGTTTGACCACAATCCATACTCATTAACACATACATATATTTAATTACTATGTGAAGGGCTGATTTTAGCTTTATTACTATATATCTAGGCTAAATAAGTAGCTGTTAGTTGGCAATACTGAACAAATAACTTTTCACCAATGTAGTTAGTAGTATGAATTAATTAAAAGTCTTACCATGACGTCTAAAAAATATAAATAATTAATAACTTTTTGCCCATCACAACTTCTATTTTTTTACATAATGTTTAACTTATTTTCCTTATAGTATTTCCAATTAGCATTCATTTCACCTGAATACCCAAATCCAAGATGAGCAAATATATTTTAATATTCATACAATTAAAATTGTTTAAAGAAACATATTTGATAAAATTACATTTTTTTAAAAAATTTATTATTTTTTTAAAACTTATATATTTTGGTTTCGGTCACTGAGATTATAATGCTGAAATAATTTCATTTTATTATGTTTAGGGCTAACCCTTGACGTAGGTAGAATCCCTTGTTAAGATACTCGGTCCTAGCAGAGATCCGTTTTCTCAGTTTTTAAAGAAGGCCAGGGCACGAACGATGTTAGAGTCGTGGCTATTAGTAGTAGGAAGGATTGCTTAGTTGGCAGGTAGAGATGTGGAGTCTCGGTGTCCAATAGAGTATCCATCCACTGGGTTGCCTAGTATACCATTGTCGATATACCAATTATGAGAATTTAGCTTGCATTGTTCACTTATACCTTGTATTATGCTATTAATGCCCAGACAGAATAAAAAGGAACCTAGAGGGTCACCTTGTTGTATTCTATCGCTAGAAGAAATCAATCTATCTCTAAATTGAAGATGCGAAGGACTAGCATAATAATCGAAGATAAATTGTGAGTATCGTGGGTAGAGGGTGAGGTTAGGATTCAGAAACGCTCTACACCTTAGAGAGTTAAAGGCGTTCGAAAAGTCTATTTCAGCTAGGATATGATGAAATTTATGTTGATAGTAACCATTAATCAGATAGTCCATTTACTAATAAATTTAAAACTATATGGAATAATTCTATCAATAGTTATTATATTACCAATTCCAATATCAAATATGCATAATTTTGATATTTTATTCTCAAATATATTATATGAGATCATGATATGAAAACTTTAATTGCAAAGATGGTTTCATAATGGGGTAATTGATCTATATCATTAATAACAGCATTATTGTATGGTGGGATTTGTGATGGGAGAGGGGGAATACTGATGGTGAGTAGAACCAGAGTGTGTATACTTGAACACCTAGGTGCAATAGAGGGGTATAATATGCCTCAAGTAGGGCAAAGGCCTTTATTCAGCATTCGAGTTTGTGTTCAATTTGAGTGATTGTGCAATTTAGAATCTCAAATTTATTTGATTTAAATGATTTAGAAGAATATGATATTAGGTTATAGTGAATATAATTTATTTTAAGTGGTTTGATTTTTAACTGATTAATATATATTTTGAGCTCAATTGCTTATTAGCTTCTTAAAAAAAACAGCTTATAAAATAACGAAATTAATCTTTAAAAATATTTTAACTTTTTACTATTCAGAGGTAAAAAAACCATTTTTTAAAAATCAAATTGTATTTGAACATGGAAATTTTTTATAAGTTATAAGGAGGCTTTCTTTATACAAAAGAATTGATCTTTAAAAAATATAAAATAGAAGCATTCTGGGAAAATTGGCAGATTTTAATATCGCCATTTTTTTTCAAATCATGGGCTAACAATTTAATATTTTTAGAAAATTTCCTTTATTTTATACTTAAATATATAATTTTTTTTGCTGATATATCGCATTATATTTTTTTCGACAATATATATTTATACAATACTTTTTTTAAAAATGAACAGTAATTCTTCGATTTCATTTACAAGTTTGATGTAAAATAACGGTGGATTTATAACAATCTTAATGAAAATATATTTTATAATTATGTATACAAATCAATAAAAAAGATATAAATATTCAAAATTACTATTAAATATAATTTTAAATAACATGTATATAATTTATATTCGACAAGGTCAAGGTCAAGGCCGCGGTATACTAAAATATGATTTTATTGGCTAATAAAAAGAATTCAACGAGTTAATAAATTTATATCTAATCTTATTCATGAATGATAACGAACATACATCAATGGAAAAGACATCGTCAGTTTGTTACCGCGATATCTCGCATTGTAATCGAGCATATTATTAATAAATTGTCTAAAAAACTTTTCCTTCAATCCCATTTTCTCTATTTCAGCTAACACATCTGGGAAACTAGCTTGGATACAATTCACAGCTACTTCAGGTGAAGGTAAAAAGGAGTACTTAGTTTCATTTAATTTTTCTATCGTTATTCCATCTTCATTATACCCAACATCTATCATCATTTTCTTATAAGCCTTTATAGGGTCGGCCTCTATCATCCACGCACGCCTCCATGGTAATAATAAGCCTTCATGGAACTCTTTTAATTTTTTTAAATGAGGACTAAACTCTTGATTATTCAAAGCTCTTACGGTGGCATAATTTGCACTGTCTACAATCCCATAGTATAATATCAAATTAATAGAACTAACTCCAGGATTTATAACCTTAAGTAGATTAGCTAGCGCTTTCGGCTGATCTTCGATCCAATGAAAACAAGACGAGGACACTACGTGATCAATATAACCTTCTTTAATGGTACTTAGAATATTTTCGGATGCGTTTTCGCTGGCTATATCTATTTTGGCGAATATCAATGATTTTAGGTTAGAGCAATAGCGTTCCCTGGAATATTCGACCATTGGTGGAAGCAAGTCTATTCCTAGAACACTTCCCTTGAATTCATTATCGTGATTAGTTGTTATTAAAGTTTGGTAAAGTAGATCGGTGGACTTACCATCTCCGCAGCCAACGTCTAATACATTGTCGCATTCTTTAATGCTTGGGATTATACGGGAAAGGAGATAAGCGTAAACATAGGATTGATATGCGTTTTGGTTGGCATAGGCCTCACAGTCCGAATTCATAAACATTTTTTATATAATTATTTTATTTATCTAAATAATGATTCAATGTCTAAATTGTTAAAAATAATTTTCTATTTTTAAATGTCAAACTCCTTTTTATTTAAATTGTTTGAAAATAAGAAGATAAATATAATGAATATCACTGTGTTTTGTATATGCGAATTATTTAAAATATTTGAAGTAATTTTGGCATTGACACTACTTATAATCTTTTAAATGTGTAATGATTAATTGATTATAAGGAATTAATTATATGATTCTTTTTAAAAAACGAATAGTTAAATTACAAATAAATTTCATATTTTATCAAAACGGGGCGCGTATTTATAACAAGTTTATTTGAAAAATAAAATATCTGATCCTGCATTTTGGATTTAACAAAAAAAAATTTAAAATCTCAAATCAATATAATAGTGCCCGTTAATGTTACTCAAATAAAGTAACGCCCTTTCATTTTGCTGTATTCTTCAAAAAAAAAAATACCCTCACTACATAGTTTTTTAAAAGGTATCAGTAACGCTTTACTATTTACCACTCAGAGGTGCACTGATACTACATTTTTTTGTCGTTACTGATTCCGATCGATTTTATTTCCAGTATTTCTCTAAGTGTAATATGAGAGCACGCATAATTTGAGCAAGTTTTTTTTTAAAATACGGTAAGCAGAAGGGAGCCGCATAAACAAAGGTCGTTCTTATTAGCTTTAAGTCTTTGCAATCTGTTTAAAAAAAATTTATTCTAAAATTTGCTGGAAATAGAATAACGAAAACGGGAATCGAAATAGAAAAAAAATGAAAGTTATCCTGCAAAAATTATTAATAAAATTAAAGATACCAGAAACATTATTTAATTAATTTCTTTCAAAGACTTTCCAGAAAAGTGATTTAGCTTTGTACGACTTAGGATAGACGGGATTCGAACTATTCACAGGAACTGATTTTACGATAGATAGATAAGCTTTAAGTAGACTAAGAAAATGGTTTAAAAAAGGCGTATAGATAACCGTTTTTTTCCCCGCTATTAAATCATTCAAATATATATAAATCATTCCCTATTTTATGAAATAGCCCATTTTTATGATGCCATCTTGGAAATAAAAAATATGTAGTGTCACTCACTTTCCTTGCGTAAACACTCTTAGACTTAATATATTGTATTTCAGTTTTAAAGTTGGCCAAGATATCGAAATATTAATTAATCAGATGATGCCTGCCACAAATAAAACATTAATTTATCACAATTTTTTTAACAATCATTATTTAAAATCATCAATCAATATTTTTACCTAAAGCCATATTAAATTTGGTGATTTTTGTATTTTTTTTTACAAATGTCCATTTATAAATATAATATATTTTATTTTCTATAAAATTAATATGGGTAGTCAAATTTCTTTTAAAAATAAATGTTATTGTTAAGGGGTCAATATGTAAATTAGTGATCCGAGCCTAACTTTTTATGCCTGGCCATATCCGAAATTTTTAAAAAAAAGTTTGGCCGGCCCGAACCCGAAATTATTTAAGAAAAAATTTGCCGTCCCGGTCCGAATTTATTTAAATATAGAAATTAATTTTATTTAAAGTTATAATTTAAATTTTTTTAAAATTATTATACCCAAAATTAAGGAAATATGTCATAAGGCCTTTAGTTTCTATAAATAATAAATACTCTTATTTTACATAAAAAATTCAACATAAAATTGAAAATTTAGATATATTTAAAAAAATATTTCCAAGCCCCGACACGGCCCGAATTTTTTTTAAAAAATATTAAGCCCGACTCAGCCCGAGCCCGATTTTTTTAAAAAGTAGGCGGGCCGGGTATCAATCAGGGCTACTTTTGCAGATATCTGGTGGTAATAACAAGTTCTAAAGTTATTGCCATACATTCATTATTTTATTTATCAATAAAAAAAAATTAAATAGATGCAAACCAGCAATAATGATAATCCAATTTTATACCAAACCTCAAGAAATTGGTTGAAATTTATCCATACTTGTGATTCTTGAGACGACTCCATTAAAATATTAAATTTTGCTCTACAACAGCCTTATTCAAAAAAAGGTCTCTTTTTAATACGTTCTTTTAATAACACAATTTATCATATAATCTAGCTTGAGCCTGAGCCAAAATTTTGGCTCAAAAACTGGCTGAGTTTTCGGCTAAGCCGGCTTGGCTTAGCCGTTTAACAACACTACATTCATATTTTTAAGAATTTTTAGGGTAAAAAAGAAAGTGTTTATAATATCCTCTTAATTAAGAGATTTTTATTCGGGATTAATTTGGCACCTAATCTAAGTATTTCTGTTACTTCTTGACATGCCAAATTAGTAAAAAAATTCTTGATTCCTATTTCTATTGGATCACTTGTTTTTAAGAGACAAAATAACGCGTAATTAAATACAAAAGTTAAATTACTGTATTTGTTGAAGATGAACCCTAATAGTGATTTAATTTTTTATAGATCGAAAATTAGCAATATTTTTTTGAAGTAAATTTTGCGGAATGGTATTTACCTTGAAATCAGAGTTAAAAACTTAAAATCATGTGGTGTACCTCTTGAACAAGCACAGGATTACATTTTGGACTTTGTAATTTGTTATAGTCAGATTTATTAGGGTTGACAAAGATATGAATAGGGTTGGGTGTGAATTAAGGGATATAAGAAAATTTAATATATAAAAGCAATAAAAGGCTCATATTTATATCCTTAAAAATTTATAACATTCAAGGTATAATACATTTTGGGATACGTCTATCCTAATATAATATAAGTATGGTAAATATGAATTTGTGTGAATTCGATTAGAGTTTTAATAACCCTGGGCGGAGTAGACATTTTGGAACTGGAAATAAATCTAGAAAACCTGAACTTTAAAATTTCCAAGAACCAGTTCTAATAAAAGTGCAAATATTTTTTATATATTGTTCAAAATGTTATGATTCATTCTAGAGTTTACTTAATGTTCAAATTTTTTTAATTGCGCATCAACAGGTTAAACCCGAATCAGAAAACTCTCTTTTAAAAATTGTTTCCCGCAATAATTTTTATATGTTACCAATTACCCTATTGTTTGGCATATTAACGGATAATTCTAATCTGAGTGTGATAAGAAGTTAGCTCTGCCAAAAAATGAAACATTTCAGATTTTTTTTTTCAATTGTCAGAATTAAAAATACTTGAAGAATAATATATATTTTAATGATTTTGGCCGATTTTTTTTCTTAAAATGTAAGAAGATTTTGCGCAGTATGAATTTTGATTTTCTCAGAATTTTCTTATTGAATTTCTCATGTTTTTATTTTTAAATTGTATTTAGTTTAAGGTTTAGGTGTTTATTATTATTTTTTACTTGCCTTACAATATTTATAATATTCTTAGCGATAAAATTGATTGTCTCCAAGTCTATATCACAAGGGGGAGGGGAGAAGGGTTAAAATAAAATTAAATATCTCTACAAGAATATCATATGAAAACGTTAATAAAAATAGTTTTCAAGAGCTATTAAAATTAATCGTTACTCTAGGTTCTAAGGAAAGGGGGGGGGTGAGGGTATCACTTTCTTTAAAGATATTTCATTAATGATATCAAATAATTAATAAAACTATTTCTGAGTTACTCCAGCTCCTCGCAGGTCATGATAGGAATTATGATTTTATTACACTACTAAATTATAAATCATGTAAAATTATGATAAGTGACAAAAAACGCCGGAAATATTAGCATTTAAAAAAAACAGAGCGTGTAAGAAATGTCCAAAAAATGTTTAGAGTGCACTACAAAAAAAAAGAAGTTAATAATAGAAATATATTATATTTCGTGCTGTAAAGTAACGGTTTTTTAGGAAAAGGAACGCCATTTATTACGGGTTTCAAAAGGTAACGAGTAAGAGGTTTATTTTTTTGAGTAGTGGTCAAAACGTTACTTTAAATTTTTTCTTAAAAAATATGGGGAAAATATTTTATATTTTTATCAAGGCAGAATGGCTTTATTTTGCAACTGAACATGGCATAACTCCTTGCGATAGTTTATTAGAGGCTAGAGCAAGCCTGGAGCGTCCTTGGATTTATATAAGTATGCGAGAATTAATATCCAGGAATTAATTATATATTTCAGTAACGGTTAATATTTACGCATGGAAACTGTTGTCAATCAAATAATGTTTAAATGTAGATTATATATTTAATTCTATATAATATCTTAGGGCAATATTATATGATATGCATGTAAGACATCAAGAGATTATCAATCACTATGGTTGAGAGAGATGACAGTGATCATCTGAAAACCAACTCCTGTAAAAGTTATATATATCTTATTATAATTTGATGTGTACAAGTTAAATTAATTCTGTTATATATATGATTGAATTGATAAATAAAATATATATGGAAATTGGAGTTATTTTATTCAATCTCAAAAATAAATGTTTAACAACGACTTCCCGGAACACAAAAATTTCATGCCTTTATTCCCATGGAAGGAAAAATAAAAGTCAAATTTTATTCAAATTCATTCACTTATTTAATTAATATGTTTATTATAATATTAATTTAAATTCCCATTGCCCGAATTTATTTAGATATAGAAATTATCCTTTTTTTTCTTACTTAAAATCGAGTTTATGATCATTCTACAAACAAATAATAAATATTGGCTACTTGTTTCTTGCAAAAATTTTAAAATATATATTTCTTTATAAAATTTAAGACTGACCTGGTCTGATTTTTCTGAAAATATAAGGCCCAACCCAGAGATCGCCAATGTCCACCCACTTATTTTTTAACATGTCTAAATTTTATGTTTTCTTTTTATTCTGAAAATTTGGAAATATTACTATATATTTTAATATAAATGATATTTATGAACGATTTTAGCCATACGACCAATATTTAGTCGCAGTCTAGGATTTGGCACAAATATAATGAAGTATCACGTGTATCTATAAATAATATTTAAAAGAAAAAAGAGCAGTATAGCTATTTCTGGTTCTATATTTATGGGTTTTTGGTAATAGACTTATTTTCAATATAATAATATTAAAGGGCTATTATAAAGCTATTTAATAAAATTTAAATTAGGTTTTTAACCTTAATATTTTTTGAGATATTTAAAATTAAAGTGTATTAGGCTGGCCACTTATTCTCCCTTAACGTGGTGAAAATGCTAAGCATTGAGGCTAGAATTTATTTATTTCTTCAAGGTTGAGTTATATTTTCAAAAATAAAAACCAGAGGATGGCTGAGATTAGTTAGGTTTGGTTTATGATTAATGCTTATTTGATATTTATTTATATTTTTATATAATCTACTTGATAATTTTTTTAAAATAAAAATTGGACTTTTGTATAAAAATATAACTATAGTAGGATCTCGTTATATCGATACTTAAGGGATCAAAAATTTTCCACGTTTATATTCAGAATAATTTAACCCCTATTTAACATTAAAAAAATTTACGATTAGTCATTCAAAGCGTTAAACGTGGAAAAATCTTAAGAGAATTTTGAAAGAAAAGTTAAATTTCAGCAAACATTAGATAAAATGAATGAGTTACGAAGTTTCTTCCCCCCCCCCCCCCCCAACTATCCCCTAATAAAATAATGGGTATGCCTAAATCATATATTGTGTTGATTACTATCTTTTTCTCGTTCACTTTTGTATAAATGTTTATTTTTCTCTTACTTTCCTTATAATTTAAACCGTTGACTTATATATGGTACAAAAAAAATATATAAAAATTTATGTATAGGCAATTATATAATTATATTACATTATAAATTATTATCCAATGTAAGTTATCTAATTTGAATGATTATCTAGATTACCCTTGCCTACGGAAAAGTAGTTAAAATATTTTTTTGCAAATTTATATTCTCTTCGCCGTCAAAGAACAAACAAAATAAATTAAATATTTTCTTTCATTGCGGCCAAACGTATCAAATAATTCGAATATTAATGAGAAGGACATTTAAAAAATAATTTTTTGACACCTTTGAGTCATATTTCAGTAATATAATTTTTAGAAAATGCTTATGAATTCGGATTGCGATGTCTATGCCAACCATAATTCATATCAATCTTCTATCTACGCACATTTACTTTCTCGCATAATCTCACGCATCAAAGAACACGATAAGATATTAGACGTTGGTTGTGGAGATGGTAAATCAACAAATTTACTTTATAAAACTTTATTAACGACTAATAACGATATGGGATTTAAAGGCAACGTTTTAGGAATAGACATACTCTCACCAATGGTGGAATACAGCAGGAAACATTATTGTTCAAATATGAATTCATTGACGTTCGCCAAAATAAGATGCGGTCGAAAATATTTTAAGCACTATAAAAGAAGATTTTATTGATCACGTGGTATCTTCATGTTGTTTTCAGTGGATCGAAGATCAACCAAAAGCGCTCTCTAATCTACTTAAAGTTCTAAATCCGAAAACGGGTTCTATTAATTTGATATTTTTTGATAAGACCATTGAAAGTTTAAATTATGCAACTGATGAAATCTTAAATAATAAAGAATTAAACCCGTATTTAAAAAAGTTAAAGGACTTTAACGAACGTTTATTGTTACCCTGGAGGAGAAGTAGGATGATAGAACCCGACCCTATAAACTATTATAAGAGAATCATGATTAAATCGGGTTATAACATAGATAAAATAAAAATAGAACAGTTAGATGAGATTAAATATTCATTTCCTCGGAAGAAGCTACAAATTTTGTCAAGGGATTTTTTCCGGATGTGTTGGCCGAAATTGAAGTTGGATTGAAAGAGTTGTTTTTTAAGCAATTTGTCGAAAATATTTTGGACTATAACGAGAAACATTATGGAGACAAACTTAAGTTCTGTAATCCGTTGATGTTTGTTCAATATAGTTAATGAAGAAAATTAGAGGCCAAATTTAAGAATTTAATACCTTCTTTTATTTTACGATTCTGATATATTTATTGACTCTGTATAATTAAAACTAATAGAGACCTGACCAAAATGGGGTTCCAATTCTAAGTATTTAAAAAAAAATATTCAACTTGAAATATTCTGCAAATATTTTTAAATTATATTTTATTTATATATAATATATATTATTTTGATAAATATATTTTTAATTTAATATTTATAACTTTTTAAATAGTTTAATAAATAAAGATTTAGATAATTTCAAAAAAACATGAAGTATAATTACACCTGTGCCAATTCGGTACACGGTTGAACGCCGATGAAAAAATTTAAAAACCTGGCTAATTGAGACTTCGGCGTGCAGGTCTAAATATAATACATCTATATCTATTTAAAATTTATCCAATAAAAAAGGAAGAAAGAAAACTTGGTTTATAATTAAAATGAAATTGCATTATTTTATTTAGGATTAAAAATTTTGTTTTGCTTAAAAATAAGAAGTTGCCCTTTTATAAAACTGATAACCTGAAATCATAGTTAGCACGAATTGACTAAATATTTTTGTATATTTCACTTCGAATCTGTCTTACTGTGAAGGGCAAGCTGGTATAAACAGGTTCATAAAGGTTTTTATAAATTTTATAACTAATAAATAGTACAATTCAACTAATAACGTTTTATTTATCTTATTGTTATTACATCTTTAGACTATTTCCCTCTAGATGTTATTTTACTAATTGTTTGAGTAATTAATTATAAGTTTATTATATTAATAGTAAATACCAAAATGGTTACTATTTTAATATTATTATCTTTAATTTTCATTTTATAATATATCGAATGAAGAAAATAACAGAAAATCATCTTCGATAAATTTGGCTTGATATCTATTAGAGAAGCCATTATTTTTTTTTATTAGATTTGAATTCAGAATAATTATCACGGTGATGACTTGAGACATTATTATAAATCAAAATATATGAAAAAACAACTATATAATCGGTTATATAAAATATAGCTTTGAACAGATCAATACTTTTATATAATGTGTGTAGATAACGACAATAAACATGTCTGTCCCATTTGCACATGTTTCTATACTTAAATTGCAATTTATAAAACTAACTAAAATAAATCCACTGTAAAAACCCCTTCGAATACTTAATTTACACGGGACAATTTGGGATTCCAATTTTTAAACTCTTTTATTGAAACAATAATATTGCAACAATTACAGAATAAATATCAAAAAATACGATAATTTCATAATAATATTTCTTTTATAAAAAAAACCTTAAATTTTACAATAATTCTTTTATAAAATAAAATTAAAACCCCTTACTTTCCTCCCTGCCAATACTTAATCTGAAATTTATAACAGTAACTGAAACAAATGCACTACAAAAACCCCTTCAAATTCTTTATTAAATAATACCAAAAATTCATAATATAAAAATTCGTAGTCATACAAAATAAATACGCAATAATTATACAAACTACATTGCGGTGATCCACATTATTTCATACTATTCATATTGATCATCATTACGCTTTTGACATCCATCTCTACACCAAGGACACAAAGGAACACCCGTTGTTCTCCTTTTCCTCCCATCCCCAAGGAAAATTCATTATCCTGACAGAAAATGACTGACATTTAGTATATTATATTAAATTTATTTCTTCTTTTTTTCAACGTTACAACACGCCCACCCTTCACAGGCCCAGCGTCCCTCTCTGATGGTATTGTATCGAATAGTCCATTTACATTGCATCAACTTTCGGTACGCCTTGAAAACGTTCAGGGAATTTATCGAATCGTCTCCTTTTATGATGATTTATAGCATAATATCTCCGGTACATTTCAATATATAATTGCTGGAAAACATATTAACAATAATGACATTTACATCGTGGTATCTTTCAAAAACCTCTATATCAAACCATATCCCATAACACAAAACAAACCATAATTTCATAATAATAAGACTCAAATTTATTTATTAAAAACATCAACAACAATCTCTATACATTAACACAAAAAAATATACCAAAATTTAATATAATTATTATCCATTTCTTCATCTCCCAAAGGTTCACAGCTGACATCTTATTCAATATTTTCCCATCTCCCACTAGGGGTTTTTCCTAACAAATGAAATACACCCCGTGATCATCATCTCCTCTTCTTCCCCCAAGGAAAACTTAATTCCCCTGTCAGAAAATAACTGACATTTTATGTATTATATTAAATTTATTTCTTCTTTTTTCAACAATTACAACAGTATCCATATTTATAATCTATGGAATAGTAATATTGACAATGTAATATACAAGCAAAACATAACAATTCATTCGTTTTGATAAATTTGGAAACTATGAGTTATAATATACATTATTCAGGGTCTGATTAATGG